AGAATGGCCGGATTCAACGTACCTAAGAATAGTCAATATACTAGCCACGGTCAGGGACACAGAATGGGACACAGCGATAAGGGAAAGCCAATAATAAAGGATACCAGAAGTCAGGGAAGTCAAAACGAAGCCAAAGTCAATAACCAGAAACACACGATCAGGAACGCACTCTCGGATAACCATCTAAGAGAAACCACAACAGGGCAATGAGCAAAAGTAAAAATGAGTTTAAATAAGCCTCTTTCACATCCGATTGGCCGGAACCGGCCCTTGACCCCCAAACGTGCTTGCTCGTCTTTTGCGTGACGTCACATGCACGTTGATGTTGTTATTACCATGGGCGGACGTGGGGCTATAAATTGGCGTGGATCCACAGCGGCCGGCATCCATCAACAAGTTGCAGGAGTCAGATATACTGGCGCAGGGCTGCTGAGCGGTACTTCCGTTAATGCCAGGAAGGCAGTTACTATCGCAGATATCACAAGGTGAGGATGAATATGTGACAGACACACACTGACAGACATACAGTGACAGGCACACACTCTCTGACTGAGACACACATTTTCTCCTCTCAATCTTCCTGCAGTTTCTCTCTGCTCTCCTGCACGCTCTCTGTAGTGATGCCGGGGCTGCAGTGACATTATGTCACTAAACAGCGCACGAGGGAGCAGAGAGGAACTGCAGTAAGGTTACTGCTCCCTCACGCGTCTCTCCTTGCTCCCCGCGGCGGCTTAGCAAAGGGCTGACAAATGTCAGGCGCCAGGGCAAATTGTCTAGTCGTCATGGCGACCTGGGATTCCTCGAGCCCTGTGTATGTACGTGTGTGTATGTGTATATATATATATATATATATACACATTTTATAACTGCCCCCCCCTACTTTTGTCCCTGGCCACTTATGTGCCTCTCCCTCCCCTCCTAAGTATGAATCCTGGAGATGCCACTGTCCTAATGCTATAGTGTTCTTTTAAAAGAAAAACAGAAATGTCCTTTAATGAATCTAGCACCTAAACTCCATGTTCCAGAACCAGTTTAGAATCTAAGCAGTTGGGACTTACCAAATTGTCTGAGGCTGAGAAACAATATTCTTGGAACAAGGGGTCATGCTTATGTTGTGGACAAGAACAAGGACATCTCAGACTGAAATGTCCTAATCGTCTGGAAAACTCTCACACCTAAGGCATTTTAGAGGACAGGCTCTGGGTGTTGGGGCCATAAATGGTAGGTGTCTTCAGACTGTTATGATCACTAAGGAAACAATCCCTGTGCACATGACAAGGGTGTAACATAAGGAAGTTGTTATACTCCAGGCTCTTTCTTCCCTTTCTTTTAATATTGTGTTGGGGTATCCATGGTTGATCAAACATAATCCTAGAATAGATTGGGAGGATGGTCAAATAATTGTTTTGAGGGGGCGGGGCTTGGCCACCATGTCAAGCAGTCGCATGGCACACGAGCTCTGCAATTAATCGTCTAAATCATCAACAATAAATCCACCCGACTGCACAAATCGGTTTGAGCTGTTACCTGGAGGGGCCTGAAAGTTACAGGGATCCCTGAAGCAGCTTGCTTCCATCTGCCGCAGCCTAGACTTGAGCTGTTTGCCTTGCGGCCTAGAGTGGCACAAGACAGGAGTTACGGCCAAACAAGCTGAGTCCTGTATCCCTCCCCCCTTTTGGACTGGGGAGATTAGTCTGGTCCTGGCTACCAACATCTCTTTTACCAGTGTGTCACTTACCTGAACCAAAGCCTGTACCCTGCCTCGGCTTACATCCGCATGCAATTGGTGCCGCCAAGATAGCGGACGCTTCTGATCCTCTTGTGAGCTCCACTATACAGCTCAGCGGGGATCCCCATAGCTCAGTAGAGCATATCCTGCAGAGGATCGATGACATGTTTACACGCTTCTGGACAGAGCTAGAGAGCCGCATGACAACCAACCTACAGCAGTCTCGGGAGGGAAGTTGGAGGAGAGTGAGCCAAGAGGTGAGAGGATCTCCTATGGGCAAAACAACTCCCAAGCTTTCCGTCAAACCAGATGCTAGCCCACCCGGGTCGAAGTTAACAAGCCAAATCTAGCCATCCCCACCTAACCCTGCCTCCTAGCCCTGTCAAGGCTTCCATTCCACTTTAGCTAAGCTTGCTCCATGGGGCTACAGCCCATAGTAAAATGCATGTAATCATGTGTGTTCTTCTAAAACTGACAGATTATCTGGGGTAATATCTGATGTTTATTACTGGTATGATTCATGTATCAGCCAGGTATAGCCTCTGACTGCAGTAAGACTTATAGGTTGAAGGGACATAAAGCGGGCAGTTTCTTGCACCTTATCATAAGGGTGCTCACGAGATGTGTCAGGTGTGTCTAGGCACACCCTAATGCAGCCAGAGTTCTGATTACCAGATGCTAGCCCACCCGGGTCGAAGTTAACCATGAGCTCAACCCCAAGGCATTGACCACATAGACGGAGGGCAGTGCTCTGCTGGCGGCACAAGACCATCCATCTCCCCCAACGTGGGAAGGACTGGGACTTTCTAAGGCTACAAGCCTGTGGCTCGCAGATGCTGGCCTACATCAGAGCCTGGAGCTAGAGGGAAATACCACCTCACTCCCACTACACGGCTGATCCCACCAATCCCCCAGTGCTCATGGCCCATGATCAGGATTTATGTATTTCCTGTTTTTATTCCAAAGGAGATACTGACAAAACCTGGACTGTTAGTGGGCCATGAGGACCGGTTTGGGAACCACTGTCCTAGAGTAATTAGAAAAGCCTATAAAGCTGCATTGCTTTAGGTGAAAAGGTAAAGGCCAAGTGAGTAGGCTCCAGAGTTTTAGGATACATCTGAAACCCATAGCTGGATCTAAGGTAATGGAATTGTACTTGGAACCGATTGAACAAACACTTTTCTAGTTTGCAGTACAACCCATACTTTTTGTAAAATCATATGTACTTGAATATGGTTTTCAATGTCTGGGGCATGGATTGAAATGTCACATGATGAAGCCATGTATGTAATCCCTAAGAGCATCAATTATGAGTTCCTACAAGATGGTAAGGAACGTCACACTATCCAAACTATATTACCGTATATTCTTACTGTCTGCTCCTAGTATTGCAATCATCTCTTTGATTATTACCATGTTGTATACCCATTCAAAATTCAAATGGGTAAAATATTTTGCGCTCCAAAAATAAAGACTGTAAAAACATTTTTTTTTAAATTGTTTGGAGACTTTTTTTTATCAAGAAAGTGGTCTTACCAGTTTTCTCATGACCAACATTCTCACAACAGCTCTACTTTCTACCGAGGTTCCAAAGCTATATTTAGACCTGAAAAAGGTTTTGACAAGAAGCAAGCACATTGCCACCTCATCATTCATATGATTGTGCCATTGATTAGCTAAGGAGCATACAATAATGGAGGAATACAAGCAATATATCCCTTCTGATCTCGGCTTGTTCCTGATCTTCTCTTGAGCCAGCCATTTTGCCTTCTACAGGCACAGCATTAAAGGGTGGCCACACAGAATACACCAGTAGCCATTTTCTTACGTATTATTAAAGTTTTGCTTGCCAAGTATATCTTTTACCTAGACAGGGACAAGCTAACCCATAAGGAATGGTGCCACTGAAAATAGGCAGAAACATATAATTGCAGGCAGTATGAATACATTTTCTTCTTTAATTGCAGGTAGCAAAACTACCAGTGGAAATGTTCAAGGGCGTTGAATACTTTTGCAAGGCACTAAGCTGAAAGTGTCTGATACTGTACGCTGAATAGAGCTTTGGAGAAACCCCAGCAACAAAAAAAATATATATTTTTACTTTAGAAAGAAAAAGCACTGATGCACAAAAATGCGTCAGGAATTTGCTGTAGTTTCCCACGGTTTCAATGTCTCATTCTATTCAGCAAGGGTTTGAATCTTATGAACATGCAACTGAAAGTATTTACAGTAAAATAACCTTGTTTGGACACGGACCTCTCCTCATTGGAACTGCTTATTCTGTCTGTGGTTAAAGCTTACTATGGACTATGCACTTTGTGTAACTTGTTTATGTTTCTAAATTGGTTATGTGAATTTTTAAAAACCCACAACCAATAAATAGATCAACCTTGGCTGGCACCTAAATTTCCCACAATGTGATACTATATACGTCCACAAGTGGAGCCTTTTACAACTACTACAGCTTTAGTTCAATGGAGCACTTTTGGTGTATAGATCATGCCCCTGCAGGTTCACGACTCTGCCACTTAGGAGTTAATTCACTTTGTTTCTGCAACCATAGCCACATTCCCCTTGACTTTCATTTACAATCCCCCTACACAATTCCTGAAGAAGAGGTCTAGTTTTTAAAGAGTTACTCCAGGCACCATGATCACTGCAGTGATTTGAAGTGGGCATGGTGGCTGTACTCTGTATGTGCAATGTTTCGCCAACTCTTCTGCTGCCGGAGGTATAACTCAACCTCTGGCAGCATCATACGGGTGTCATCATCCAGGGCAGAACTAGAGTTACAGGCTGGCTAATGTCAATTCTGTTCACCTTTGCACAGAATGACAGTCCTTGGGCAGCTCACGCTCTCAGCCAATGAATGTCCACTCCCATGGCCTTCGGTTTCCTCTGCAGCGGGTAGCACGTCACTAGATCACCAGGGAACAGTGGAGCCCAGCATAGACTCAGATAAGGAGGAAACAGTTGCTAAACAGTTTGCCCTGTTACTGGGAAATGGGCTAGGCCAGCAGGCTATAGTGGTTATGATGCCTGGAGTAAATCTTTAGCTTACATTGTGTTTAATTTAGAGTCTCTAGTGTGCAACAGACTCCTGTATGTGGAGATATGAAATTCTAAAGAGAATTGACCGGTGGTGCTTACAGTATCCCATTAAGGCAAAAAAAAAAAAAAATGTAAAACTGGATAATCAAAAAAAATAAATAAAAGAAAAAGATAAATAATTTAAAAGGCGAACATGCAACACAAATTATGACAGGTGGCAAGAAACAGTCAAAGTGACACAGATGAAAAAAAAATTAAAATAATACACATGGAACTTGCAATCTGTAAGACAGAATTTCCTTGTTTGCCAGGATGATGAGAATGGCATGGTTGGTCACAAAACATTTAAACAAAAATTTTCAGAGGAAGCAGAAAGCATTCTTGACACAATTACCGCACATTAATGTTGACATACATAGAAAACTCACAGTTTCTCAAACAAAAACAAGGGGAAAATTTGATAATTAATGCCAAAATTAACAGAAAACAAATTGTATCATGCTGCCTCTTCCACTCACCGTAGCAGTGAAGGAGTCTGTCAATTCCCCTCCTCATAAACAAGGGAGGTGCATTATGCATATCATACATATATATAATACATTTATAAAGAGGGTTTTTCTTTTCGTCAAGGACACAGGTACCCTGAGAATTAATCACATGATGCTGGTGTGCTACATACTGGATTGGGCGACAAATGCTTCTTTCTAAATTGTCTGTGTCTTAACCACAGTTACAGGTCAATCAGCACCCTCCATAATACCTCTAAGCTATTGCCAATGGGACACCGAATGTCCGATGTCAAAACAAGCATGAATTCGAACCCACAACACAATATACAGCAGAGAACTGGAAAGGAGAGTAGACTGTGGTCACAGAAAAAAAAATGTTAGAAGGTGGTGGTAAAGCTGAGAAGGCCACTCTCATGATGTGCACAAACATAAAGGAAGTGCTGTAGATTTAGGCACAGTAGATCGTCACACACAATCTCTGACATGTAACATGGTATTTGCTGCAGGTCCGTGTGTGATTCAGTGAATGTGAGAAGGAAATAAAGTGGGGCACGGTATGTTGACGTATAGCTTCAGTCTGGACTATCCTCCACCCCACTGCACACCTCCTCTTGGTGTACATCAAATGACAAGATCTCTTTACTTTTCAAGTTATACATTTATCTCAAACTTAACATAGGTTTAAGAAAAATTATCCAGTCACATCTACAATGTTTTGGTATCAGCTAATTTTATACATGTGACTTTACCGGAATGTACTACTATATCATCAGCATAGCAGTAAAGACTACATCTAATTGTGCCAGGATTGCAGCTGACCCAGCCCCCACTTGACAGTTGCCTCTCATAACCCTTAGCACTAGACATTATATGTGGCATGCATCAACCGCTGCATGCCACATCACGTCTAGGGCACCACGTTAGGAATGGAAGACACGATCTTCAGGTACCTTTGACGGCTTACTGTACAGATTATACCTTCCTGAAGGTAAAGCTGCCTCATGGTTTACGGATGGTGGGTTGGAGAAAGTATTTGAAACTGTGTGTTGGGTGAAGTTAGTGCAACTACACGTGGGTTTTAAAAACTGGGTGCCGGAAGTAATAGCACTACAGACATGGGTTTCAAAATGACGTATAGGGTGGAGATAGGGTTTTCATGTGTGTTTTAAAGTTACAATCCAAAACTTGAAACAATGCACAAAAAAATAGTTGCACCTGGGTTTCATTCAGCTAACTGTATTGTGGACCACTAAAAACTGAGATTTCAAAATTCAGGCTAAAATAGTCAAGCTGCGACCGTAAATGAAATGTCCGAACCCAATTATTTTTGCTAAAATTATGCAGCTTGTTTTTCAATCACTACAATTCAGTGTTTTGTGAATAAATCCCAAGTCTAGTCTTCCAACAGTATAAGAGGAGACTACTAGCAGGTTTTGAACGATCAACGTTTTACCCATTTTTATATGCAAGTTTCCCCCATTCCAGTGCAGAGAATCACAGGGACGGCTGAATGAGAGTGAGCATAGGCCAGCAGTCGCAGCACATAGAAAGAGCAGTAGCATGGGGTACAGTAAAGGGTTCTCTCAGTACAACAAGTGCAGCAGGCCCTGTTTGAAGTAGGCACCATTGGCAAGAGACAATTTTTATCCAAAACACTGTACATATTACACACGAGGCCCGGTTCTCATAAATACTTTCTGCCTCTATCCTCATGCCTGGGGCAGAGCCAGATGTTTAGTTCTTAGTGGTATCCGAACAGCAGAGGAGACTACGTGGTCATATAAATACCTTAGAAAATGAAATTTAATAGCCAGGTTAATAAAATAGTAAACTTTTTTTAAAAGGTAAAAAGGTCCACAAGACACATGGGCACCTCCCCACCCAGAATTCACAGGGTTCCGAAGCCACCCCTGGCTCCCACATTGGTTTAACATTGTTGTACATTAGATACCGAGCTCCAGTATCCATTCTATATATATATATATATATATATTTTTTTTTTATTTTTTTTTTGCATTAGCCATGAAATCTGGCTACAATGTTCCTCTATCAGGAGCTCATACAACAACGTTTCCAAACACTGTCTGTCTGACGAAGAAGAAGAAACAAACAACTTCTGTGGTATTTTCTTCTCTCTCAGAACTCGGATCGACCCAGAACAGGCTTTTTACCCATAGGGTTCACGCAAAACACTGATTCCACCGTCTTTAAGTCAGTAGCGTACAAATGGATTAGACGTTTGCTGTGGCTGTGTATCTGTTGGAATACGGAGAGTAAAACAGAGAGTTTGTTATATTGTCGTTTCTGGAGAGTTCGATGTTCACATTGACCAGCAATGACTAACCTTCGCACTGCAGATATTGATGAAAATACATTGCCATTCTATCTGAGCCAAATATCACAGGAAATGTAGTCTTACAAAAATCTGCAGTGTTCGTTTAGCTACTAGCAGACACCTTATACAGGACAGCAGAGAATGGCTAAGAAATATCAGCAGTTCTGGAAATACGAGTATACTTGTTACGTTACTCACTGGATAGTTGTTGTTGTAGTTGCCGAACTAGTGCTGCAGTCTGTTGCTGCTGCTGAGTCTGCTGCAATCCCGTTCTCGGAAACTGGGAAAAGAGGTCAGAAAAAAAAAAAAATGAATGGTCAACTCTGAAAAACTCCTGCATATACTGGCAAAAGGGATGCTGCTAATTACCATTGGTTGTTGAGGGGGCAAAGACTGCATTCCGAGTCCAGGTGGCTGCCCTTGAGACTGTGGTACAGATGCGACTTGCTGGGGAGGTGGTTGTGGCTGTGCCTGTTGTTGTGGTGGAGCCTGGGCCTGTTGTTGCTGCTGCTGCTGCTGTTGTTGTTGCTGCTGCTGCTGCTGTTGCTGCTGTTGTTGTTGTTGTTGCTGCTGCTGCTGCTGCTGAATCAAGAAAATTAATTAGTAAACTAGTGCAAACACAGACAAAAAAAAAAAGAATCATAACCTTAATCACGGTCTATGCCATCATTCAGTGCAGGCTTTAACTCCCAGTGACGGCATAGACCCTCATGCAGTAGGTACCAGCAGGGAATACCAAGGAATCCCAGGTATCTTTCAATACCCGAGGTTCCCCTCTGTCAGCTGCACCCACAGCTACACAGTTAAAAAAGGTAATATTACAAAAAGGGAAAAGCCTGCATCTGCCAGAAGGGTGAAAGAAAATATGACCCTAGTGAGTAAAAATCACCCTTGGTGAGTGGGACATGGGCTCCCAAGGCTTGCAGTGGCAAGTAACTTTTCAGACGTGGCTAGTAGTGTAAGACTTGACATTTAAAGCCCTGACATATAGTATCTATAGATTATATATAGAGAGAAGTATCCATATTTAGTTCTCATAACCAACAGTATTTTCCTAACTTACCCGTATCATTTGGTTTCTTAAGTACTGCTGCTGCTGCTCTGGTAGCATTTGGTTGGGCCGAATTGCCCCTGTTACCGATTGAGCAGCAATGTGACCCATTCCGGCCATCATTCCTGCCTGTGGCATCTGCTGGTGTGTAAATCTGGTGAAAAATCACAAACATTCAAACAAGATTTAATTAATAAATGAGGACAGTGAACATCACTGGGAAAGTGAAAATGTAATTTTGTGAAATACCTCGGTCCTCCAGAAGGCGCATAACCATAGCCAGCTGCTTGTTGGTGAACATAGCCCCTCTGGGGCATTTGACGCATAGGATCAAGGAGAGCACCACCAGAAGTGGTAAGCGTTCCAGGGTAAGTCTGATTGCCATAAGCTGGAGATACCAATGTGCCGGGTTGAGCAGGAGGGGGATGTTGCTGGATGGTTAGATGAGGACTGTAAGATGTGTAACCCTAAAGCAGAATGAGAAGGTAGACTTTAATAACGTTATGTGTAGCCTGCACCGTATTACCGTTTAATATGATCTTAAAGAACATGTCATACTTTAGATGAGAGCATTTTATTTTCTAAAACAAATAAAAATAATTTATAATCATCATTTTACACACCATTCAATTTTTATTTCCTCTAAACAAATGGAAATAACTTTACTCTAACATCACAACGGCATTCCTAACCGTCGACTTGCATATCCCATGATTCCCATCTCACAATGGCTAAATGCAATAAAACAGCAACGCATATTAACAGGTTTTGACAGTAAACTAAATTAAATTTATGTGTTTTGCTAAATAGAATTTTATGAAATAGCAAGCAGAAGTGTTTACAAAGATGGAAAAAAAAAAAAGTGAAAGTTCCACTTCACATCACCTTACGATATCAGATGTAAAACTACATGTTTACTAAATGAGACATTTCTACTCTTCTTACATACCTGAGTGGGCTGAATGGGGCCATAGGGAGGATTTGGTGTCATCTGCCGGCCAGGCTGGGGCATAGTTCCTTGTCCTTGCTAAGTGGGAAGTAATTAAACATCGGTCACTCATTTTCTGTACAACTACATTTTTATGCCCAATGCGTTTCCTTTACATATACACATTCCCGTATCATCGTGCAAGACTGACAATTGGCCCACTTACCAGCTTGGCCTGTAGATGCTGTCTCAGTAGCTGCCCCTGGGGAGTTGGAGCCTGAGGTCTGTACATTCCTACATTGGAAGGCATTACCCCAGGATATTGAGGTCGAGTCTGTGCCACCTTCACCATAGAGACCCTAGGGGGTCTATAGGCACTACTATCTACACGTGGGCCACCTGTTTGGACAAGGAGATGGTGTAATGAATGTAGTAAGAGGCAGCCGTGACACACACTCAGAAGAGGAATTCTATAAATTATTACCATAATGCAATAGAGAGTAAGGCAATACTCACCAGGAGGAAGTGGCTGATTATGGGCAAAAAGTGTTGCTACATTTTGTGCAACATAATTCAAACGAGACACTTGCCCAGCCCCTTGGACATGCAAGTGGTCATTTTGTATTCCAATCCCTAAAGGCCCAGAACGGCCCCCGCCCAGCCCGTAATCCTAAAGTGAGGCAAATAAAAGGATGGTTACAGAGAATGTGTGTGCCGACAGAAAAGTAACATTGTGTAGTTATTGTGACCAATTGCAATTAAAGGTTAATTGAAATATAAGCACCACTAACTGGTTCAGTTCTTTATGATAAAGGTATGTAACGACATACAAACCTCTCCTTTACTTGTTGCCTGGGCTCTCTTTTTAGTTTTATTCCTATTTTGTTTCTTTCTGTCATCGGTGGCACCAGTGCTTGCCCCTCCACTCTTATCCACCTTGATGGGCTCCCCAAGCTTCTTGTCAGGTTCTATACTTGTGGGTGTTGGAGGCTCCTCGTCCTCAGGGGGGAGTGCGAGTGGCTCCAAGTAGTAGGTACGTGGCTTGGGTTTAATGTGGGTGTGGTACAGTAATAAACGTTGCTGCTCTTCCAACCGAGACACGCGCCTGTCTACACGCACAGTCCCAAACCATCCCCAAGAGAGGGGGGCTGACTGCTTAAGTCCCTCAAAGAGATCCCACGGGGAAATCTTCTGCTTGGTTGAGACTTGTAAACCCTGTTAATTAAGGAATAATGTCAAATTGGAACAGGTTTATACATGAAACTATGCCTCTCTAGATTAATTAAAAAAAAAAAAAATACAAAAGTCAAGGAATACTACTGAGATGAGAGGGAAAACAACCGTGAATATCCCCCGCTAACAAGTCTAAGATGACTGAACTGGAAAAGAACAAACCACAAGTGATTTAGATAGTTAAATCAATATTCTCACCTCCTTCTTGAAGATAGAATCAAAGCCAGCGATTTTGTTTCCTTTGGTATCAATGAGAGATCCCTGAGGCTCACATGTGATCACATCCCGGGTCTGCTTAGGAAGTGGTAACAGCTGTCGCACTTTCTCCAGACTTTCCGACTGACGATCACCCAGCTCCTTCTGCCAAGATACGGAATGATGGAAATCAGAGACAGTCTATCAATCATCATTCACACGAAAAAAACAGACGAAGCCTTACCCGAAGTTTTTTCACCAGATTCATGTACGCCCTCTTGTTCTCCTCCATGCTGCCCTGAGAGATACTAGACATGTCGGCTGCCAAAGTTCCGTTAATCAGCACACTCAGCATGTCTAGGACTGTAGTGAAGAGCTCGCTGGTAGGAATAGGAGAGATTAAAACATAATTTTGAGTGTGTTTGTCGGACAAAGGAGCTGGAAATGTTTTGAAATAAAAGAGAATAGTAAATAGTGAACGAGAGTAATAATTAAAGGGGAGAGGTTATATATATTGGAGTGTTTACAGCAATACATATAGTGAAAAGCTTACTTGTTAGATTGCATATCGACTGTGCCGCTGCTGATAATGTCCAATAAAAGCACGGCCCACTCTGTGGTCTGCTGAGTGCTTCGCTGAACTGTGTCAAACATACCGCCCACCTGCAGCAGCAACAAACAGTCAGAAGAAACACAACACACAGTAGAATATTCACAGTGCGAAAACAAGGTGACAAGGCAAATCCACCCATATTAAACCGCATGCACATTGTATTTGTGCTCTCCCAATATTATTTCCAATTTCATGTTCATTAAGACTGCTTCAATTAGAAGACAGTTTTACAAAACTCACCAAATTAAGTCTCAGTTTCAAGACATCATGCAGCAACTGAGGGGTCTTGCAGTCATCCTGGTACTGGTCCTCTCGCCAGTTACTCACAATCTATAGGGATGGGTAAAGAGAGTCAGAGATGATATATAAGCGGAGAGGGAAAATAAACATAAAAGAGAACTTCAATAAGGGCTGTGTTGAGTGTGAGATGGATTAGAGAGAGACTGGAGGTAAATATACAGGAGGCAGAGGAGGGGTGTTGCACTGAAGGAGCAGCATGATATGCCAGGCAGAAGGAAATGGGAAAGAAGATCACTGATGGAAATAAGACAAATAGGGCTAGCATCTCAGGAAAGGAAAAACTAACAGCAGTTTCACTTACCTGCTGTACCTGACTGTACAGTGAGGTCAATAATCCTTCCCTCTGTTCATCCTGGCCCTTTAAGCAAGTCAGAACCAAAGAAAGGAATGGCTGCTGACTAAGCAAAGACATGCTGGAGGTGGAAAACAAACAGTGAAATGGGATCAATCAACAGCACTGATGTCACTGATAATGACATGTTGCTAGAATGATGTTTGAATAGATTTTGATATGTTTCCTGGAAGGAAACTGTCCACATGATACATTTGGAAACAGTACAGGGATTTTATAAACACCAATTTAAGTGCTCAATTTTAGACTTTGAAGATGCAGAAGTAGTGAGGGTAGGTGATACACTGTTACATAAGTAAGTAAAGGATGCACTGTTTTGTCAATACGTGTGACATATTAGTTAAGACTGTAAGCAAGAGTATCAAGCACCCAAATTTGTGGTGTTTCTTGTTAAAAGGACAGGCTCACTGCACCAAGACCTCGTCATTGACATGCAGTGGCCTGGGTGACTATAGTGGTCTTTTAAAGGGCACTGTCTTGCCTGTTTTGTTTTAAAAAGACCTCCTTAAAGGTGTTATACTCATTTAGAAGGTGGTACCCAGTGGAGGGGGTAGGCAGGTCAAATCAGCCGAACCTCTTGATACTCTGTGCTCCCATTCTCTGCTAGAGAAAACTGGCTATCAAGTAGTCAAACTGTCAAACAGTCTGACATCTTAAAGTTGGGTGGCGTCAAGGCAATCCTGGGACCATGCTCACTACAGTGGGCTAAGGTGATAATGGTATTAAAGGATTCTTTTAAAAAAGTACATGCATCACACCTTTTCTGCAGCTGAGAGGCGTGCCCAACAATGCAATGGTTTTATATATTCTGGTTTGTATATTTGTTTAAAAGTGTTAGCTTGCTGGTTTAAATAAAATATATAAAGTGATGCCTGTCCCTTTAAGAACCGTGAGAGAGACTATCTATTGTGCAAAGTACTCCTACATGAACTGCTTCTCAAAGCAGTGTAATACTCATTCCCGAGCACATCAACTACAAATATTTACCCCCGACTGGTGAACAGGCTCATTTTCCAGACCTGTAGAAGTGGATGACTGACAGCTTAATCATAACTACGTTCACTTGATTTACCGATGAACTGCAAATTATGTGTTCTTTTTATTCTCTGGTTACTTATCTCTCAGTAACCTACAGCTCTGGTATATATAAATATATGTATGAGGCAGGCTTAGACAATTTATGCTCTATAATTTAGGGTTAGTCTAACATGTGCTACAGTACGATTAAGGGTTGAAAATGAATGCAGCTATGCAGCAAATATTGCAATTTTGTTGCTTAGGAACAGCCGGTCATGAAAAGCATTGACGAGGTAGGGTTTATTAACCCCTCGAAGACCTAAGGCATTAGCACAATCTGAATCTGGGAAGCTCCATTCTGAATTGCCAATGTGCAATGCAGTAGAATAAAGGACGATAAGCAGATAGAATATGCAACTCATTTAGCATTTAGCTAAGACATTGCATGGTTATATAAAGTTTAAAAGTCTCGGATTGTCTGGAACTGGGTTGAAACGGACGGATACGTTCTGTTTCCATTTGCTTTCCCTGGTGGTGTTTTACGACACGTTTGAAAACACTTATGGTAGAAGGAAAGAAAAAGGAAAATTGACCGGAACAGAGAGACTCTAGTTTGGGTGTTTGAGCTGCCTTCAACAGTATGTGCTAGAAACCGATACTGTAAATATTTCATGTTTGAAAACACTACCTAAACCCTCACTGGCGTAATTTTAATGAGTTAGAAGGAAGGTACAGAAACTGTAATTATATGAACACTCCTAATTCACCATAAAAACAGCAATCAAACCTTCAACTGCACAGAAGCTGTCCCTTTGCTCAGACAAGTAAAATATTGCCATTTCTGAGACCCAGCAATGTTTACATTTGTCTGAGATCGTGTCTGTCTGGCGGCCACTAGAGCAGGGCTTGACAAACGAAGGCACTAGATTAATGTGTATATCAGAGGGCCTTTGTTTGTTTTTTTAGTAGCCAATGAATACATAAATAAATTCTTTACAAAATATTACAATAAATTGGGCAGCCTAATTTTGACTCCTATAGGCACATTTTCGACGGTCTGCATGTTTGGGATGATGCAGAACACAGCTAATGCTTCTCATAGAGAAGCATTCCTCAGTGAGAGGAAAGACTGAGTGAGTGCGCTCTGAATTATGCCCTAGCTTCACAAATTGGACCAAAGATCATCATGCCTGATCACAATATCCATTTAAAAAAACAAACAAAAAAACATTTTTAAACAAGAGAAGGAACACTATCCTTTAAACAAGAGTACACCAGGCAGCTGCATTTACCTTTTCTGCTTTTGTCGATCACGTTCCTTGCGAGAGGAGGATCCAAGGTGCTGTCCTTTCTCTAGTTCCTCCCCAGCTGCCTTCAGGACATGGCCCTGTACAGATGTTGGCAGTTTTGCTATCAGAGGAGCCACAAGCCATACACCAGACCGCTCCAAAGCACTGAAAGAAGAGGGATTAAAGGGTCAATTATGGGAAACCATGCATTACTAGTTGGGTTGGTGGGAGATTTAAACAGAAAAGAATGGGCTATACCTGAGCACTGGTTTGGTCTTGGCATTGGGAGGAGTGTTACTGGGAGGTGCATTGTTGAGCGGAGGATTTGTGGCAGGAGCTGTACAAACATTTTCAGCAGATTGTTGGAACACTTCAATAGTAGCTTTGGCAATGTTCTCCAGAAGTGAATTCATTTCCTGGTTTATTAGGAGAAAAAAAAAAAAATCAAATCCATCATTTCCCCTGCCACACCCTCCTGGTCCATTAAGCTGTTTTTTTTTTTGTTTGTTTTTTATAGATGGGACAATTTAGCAGCTATAATCAAGCATATCCCCACTCCATGTGGTGATATGGGTGAACTCCCCTGTATACAGGCAGCAGAAATCCCCTTGTTACAGTAATGTCTGTTCTTTGCTTTGCGGAGGCTGCTGTTGGGAGAAACGGAAGCTCTGGAGAGACTCTGGAAACAATTTAAGCAGCTTAAAAGGAAATCCATCTATCTGCCCACACAGAGTGGTGACATGCTTGATTTTAGCTGCTAAACTGTAAGTGCAACGATTTATGAAAACAGAAAAATTAGATATAGAATTATGTACCTGAACCATTTTACCCTTTAAAGGGTGATAAGTGTAATACCACTGTTTCTCTATTCTTGTGTTCATACAATACTCCCCTATGTGTAGCTTATAATTATTAGTTTCAGAAGCACAGCTTAGTGGATTACCCAAACTTATTTTTGGAAGTGCAGCTTTCCCCCCACCCCCAATCAACATATGTATTTTGTAAGTGATTTCTAGTTTATGGTGGTGGTTTTTGCATCACATCTCCGTTCCTTTTCACTTGTTTTTTTGGCATTACTTTAATGGCACCAATGGCTTTCCAACAAGAAGTACAAAATAACTTTCCTCTACTTGTCTGTATCAAAACAGGGACCAATTGAACCTACGAGAGCCCGGTAGTAAGTTAACTTCAACATTTGTTCCTTATCTCTATAAGTGTCATGTGACAAAAGGGAGAAACATAGAATGTGACGGCAGATAAGAACCATTCGGCCCATCTAGTCTGCCCAATTTTCTAAATACTTTCATTAGTCCCTGGCCTTATCTTATAGTTAGGATAGCCTTATGCCTATCCCACGCATGCTTAAACTCCTTTACTGTGTTAACCTCTACCACTTCAGCTCCATGCAAACACTACCCTCTCAGTAAAGTAGTACTTCTGGATATTTTTAAACCTTTGCCCCTCAAATTTAAGACGATTTCCTCTTATTGTGGTAGTTTTTCTTATTTTAAATAAAGTCTCCTCTTTTACTGTGTTGATTCCCTTTAGGTATTTAAATGTTTCTATCATATCCCCCCGTCTCATCTTTCCTCCAAGCTATACATGTTAAAATCCTTTAACCTCTCCTGGTAAGTTTTATCCTGTAATCCATGAACCAGTTTAGTAGCCCTTCTCTGAACTCTCTCTTACGTATTAATATCCTTCTGGAGATACGGTCTCCAGCACTCCAGGCGGATCTTACACATAGAAGGCTTATCAATAAACTGCAATCTTTAAGTTTGGATTCCAATATTGTTGAATGGGTATGGCAGTGGCTGAGTGACAGGCAAAAGAGGGTTGTAGTCAATTGAGTATATTCAAAGCATGGGCTTGTCACCAGTGGGGTACCTCAGGGATCTGTACTTGGACCCATTCTGTTTAATATCTTTATTAGAGATATTGCAGAAGGTCTTGATGGTAAGGTATGTCTTTCTGCTGATGATACTAAGATATGTAACAGGGTTGATGTTCCAGGAGGGAAAAGCCAAATAGCAAATGATTTAGGTAAACAAAAAAAAAGGGTCAGAGCTGTGGCAACTGACATTAAATGTGGATAAGTGCAAAATAATGCATCTTGGACGTAAAAACCCAAGGGCAGAGTACAGAATATTTGATAAGAGTCCTAACCTCAACATCTGAGGAAAGGGATTTAGGGGTGATTATTTCGGATGACTTAAAGGTAGGCAGACAATGTAATAGAGCAGCAGGAAATGCTAGCAGAATGCTTGGTTGTATAGGGAGAGGTATTAGCAGTAGAAAGAGGGAAGTGCTCATGCCATTGTACAGAACACTGGTGAGCCCTCACTTGGAGTATTGTACTCAGTACTGGAGACCGTATCAGAAGGATATTGATTCTTTAGAGAGTGGCTACTAAACTGGTTCATGGATTGCATGAAAAAAAAAAAAAAAAAACTTACCAGGAAAGGTTAAAGGAACTTAACATGTATAGCTTGGAGGAAAGACGAGACGGGGGGATATTATAGAAACATTTAAATACATAAAGGGAATCAACACAGTAAAGGAGACTATATTTAAAAGAAGAAAAAACTACCGCAACAAGAGGACAGTCTGAAATTAGAAGGGCAAAGGTTTAAAAATAATATCAGGAAGCATTACTTTACTGAGAGGGTAGTTGATGCATGGAATAGCCTTCCAGCTGAAGTGGTAGAGGTTAACACAGTGAGGGAGTTTAAGCATGCGTGGGATAGTATTTCGAAAATTGGGCAGACTAGATGGGCCGAATGGTTCTTATCTGCCATCACATTCTATGTTTCTATGTATTAAAGACAGCCATCACAAACCATGTGACCCACACCAATCTCTGGCAGATGACCAGGTGCTTTGCTAAGGAACGAACACTTGCCTTATATAGTTATGTACCCACACAATGCTGAACTAAGTGTTATGGTTAAAGTGCCTCACTGGCATTACTTTCCTTGATCCAAGCTTTACCATTATGTATTGAAATGTATTTGTTAGACACACAGTAACACAGAAAGTTTAATATATGCAAGACAGATTAAGACTACCAAACACTGCAACACTGTTTTTCCTTACATTGCTTGATGTCTGCTTGATCATTAATTGAAGCTCCAGTGCAGATTGCCGCATTGTCCATTGATCCAAACTCTGCAAGTAAGAAAGCACATGTAAGTAGATGGGGAGGGGGAGGGAGGAAATGGCAAAGACAATAAGGAAATGAGAAATGCATTTAATGGAAAAAGGTTGAGATTGGAAGGGATGTTCCGGGTGTTTCAGATTTCCATCACAAAAACGAACGTCAGATTGTCAGCGACCTTTGTTTAACACTTATCCATGCTCACCTGCAAGATGTGTTTAATACGCTGCCTCTGTGGGTTGTCGCCCTGCTCTGTGTCATTGAGTCTGTGCGGATAGCAAATCAGCTGCATGAGGCGCTGGGCCTGCGCACTGCTGAGAACTGGATCCTGTAGGTCATTTGAGTCCTCGCATAGAGAGCGCACGCAACGCTCCCCTACCCACTCCTAGCAGTGAAAAAACAACAACAAACATGATGCACACAGAATACAAAAAGAATAGCATTGCACAAGGCTTCTTGCACTAGCAGAGACCATAGAATAAGGCACAAACAGGATTTGTGACTAACACAAATCTTATGAGATGTGAACAAAGTTAAAAACATGATTGCAAAAAAACAAATGGCCTCAATACAATGGCTTAATTGGATAGGGCGGATATGGGATTGTTTTTAACACTTTTTCAACCTTTCTTTTCTGTACCCCCCTTTTTTTAAAAAAAACTTTTTTAATGGAAGAAAAATTATAAACTCAATAACCACTTTATTTAAAAAAAGAAAACGAACCGCCCCAAAAACACATCAGAGCTGGTGTCACTAAAAGTGTGAGAACAGGTGGCGAGTAATGGACGATCGCAGACAGCGCTAAAAATCCACCCCTAATGCAAAGATGGAGAGCACGGTGACTCTATATAGGGGTGTAAAGACGGGACGTATACAAAACAGGCTCAAGGAGAACTGAATCTGCTCAGTAAATTGGGAACTGAATTGAGTTTCAAAGCAAGACTGGTCTGAACTTAAATAATACAACAAATTCACCTTAATGAATAAACAACTTGTATTAGCAAACTCTAAACTTAAACAGATCCATTATGGGGTTTTTTCAACATAAAATGCTTTTTATCAGAATCTGCTGTTTTTACATTTGTTTACATGTTTTTAATACTGCAGGTTATTTAAAATTACAGTAGGGAATACTTTTCATTATGAGCTTTTTTTGTTTGTTTTTTTTAATTATCTCCAAAGTCCCTTTAGAATGTTCTGCTTAAATCCTCCTCTTTTTCCTCGATTATTGACTGACCTCACTACTGGGTGCTTTTCATTAAAATATACTTAACATTTATTTGAAACACGGAATGCATAAGCAAACAAAAAAATGTGACAAAAATGTGTAAAGATTCCTGTTCAGACATGCAAGAAAAAGAAATTATACCGGTGTATATTTACACTATTTCTTCATTTATTCATGCTTCTTTCACAGAAATATGAAGGGATAAAAAAAATAAAAATGGATTATTTCAAGCCTTGCAATGCTTCAGACCGATTCTAAAATATTATTGAAAAAATGTGAATACCAGGTTTGATAAAAAGAAACAAAAATAGCCAGATATCTGCATACAGATATGTGAACGGATTCTACTGACATTTCAAGAAATGAAAACAAAACAGAAATCTATTTGTGAGCAGAATAACCACACACCAGGAGTCGAGTTGTAACAGCCCTGTTTATATAGTGCATAGTGTGCCCACAGTCCCTGCCTCCAGGAAGTAGCTCTGTACTCTGGAGCCACACAGGCTCTCGTATAATAAGGTGGTGACATTCGCTGTCCCCTGCACATTGCGGAGGGATGGCCTGGAGCCTCTCTGGTAGAAAATGTTCCTCTACTGAACAGCAGTACAGCAAGCACAGGGTGCAGGCAACGTGACCTATTTTTACAAACTCACCTGCTGGCAGATGCCACGAAGAACATATTTTGCATAAACATCTAGGCTGGCTGTTTCTATGGAGACAGGACGACCACCTGTCTTCTTGGTTGCCAAATCTTCCTCTGTGATATCATCAGTACCCGCTGGGAGAGAAAATCCAGAACCTTTCAATTCTGCATCACCTGCAGAAAAGGGGGGCAGGAAATACATGACAGTGGCAGATTCCACGATACGAAACAAGTGGACGAAGAGGTAAACTCACATCTTACCTAATACAAAAACAGCCTTCAGGACAGCGAATAGTGCCCCAGGGACAATGCGATTCTGAGCAGCTGCCAGCAGGTGGCGGTCACAGGAAGAGCGGATCCCAAATGTTGGCTTGCCTAAAAACAATCAGTTTTTGTTTTTAATAGTAACAAACCTCTCAGATTCATTCAAAATATGTACATCCTCCTGTCTGACTGCTAATGTCCCCATCTCAACTCAAACTCAACCACCTTTTCCCAACTTATTGAACATTGCACTCACTTCCGTCTGGTTCATATGGGTTGAGTTGCGGAGTCTTGAAAAGCTGTAGCAATATACGACATGTAAGCCTTGCTCCAGATTCTGAATCCTGCTCACTGCATGCTGTGCGGAGAGAAAAAAAAAAAAATAATAATTATCTGTTGGACTACAAAAAAAATACTAGAGAAATGGAAATGAGCATTAAACAACATTAAAGGGAATCAATAGTGCCAGGGAAAACAAAGTTGCTTATTTCTTCCCCCATTCTTTCCTATGGGGTTTCGGGTGATGCTGGATATCCTCATGCATAGCGTAGGCAAAAGTCGCCTAACTACCCAGAAGTCCTTCTAGTGGCTGTCTGGTAGCCACTAGAGGTGGAGCGAACTCTGGATAGCAATTTTTGCAGTTTCTCAATAACTGCAATCATTACTATTGCAGGGTTAAGGGACCTGAGAATATGCACCCAGACCCCTTCAATGAGCTGAAATTGTCTGGGTGCCTAGAGTGTCCCTTTAAATAGTGTTCAGCAAATTTATGTTCAGAGTATTCTCAAGTCACTGACACACAAAACACTAGACTTAGCAAGAGATAGAATAAATAGTTACCAGCATTGAGTAACGATGGAATGGCTGCACAACGTATCAGATCCTCAAGGGAGAGACACTGGCGAGCGACCAGGATTGCAACAAACGTAGCAAGGGAATCGTGGAAAGAGAGATCACTAACCTGATGGAGTAAAAAGTGATTATTGGCTTGAGATGAACAATATTAAAAGTATAATAAAAAGGAAAAAATTATATTATAAAAGGAAAAAAGTGGCCACCGCTATATACTTACATCCACGTTGCACAGAAGGTCATTGAACCCACAAGTGCCATTGTTGGATGAGCAACAAAGTGCTTTCAAGACTCCCAGCCATTCAGAGCTCAGATCTTTGCAGGATCCTGTTAATTCGGCACACAAAATGGCAATGTCGTTGACCCTGTAGAGAAGAAAGAGGTCAGATCTGCAACAAAAGTCTCAGAGATACTTTGTGTGTGACAACCTAAAAACGTCTGCAAATTCCAAAGCTATCGGTAAGATGGTGCCCTCAATCTGTTTTGTGATGATTCTACACGTGGTTGGTCCCTTACCTATCTGTGTCATGATCTCCTGCACACACATGGACAAGTGCATTGCACACAAAGCTGTAACGGTTCGTAGGAGAGTCTCTCAACAGCTTTCCCAGCATTGCACAGTTTAAACTCTGTGGAGACGGATTAATGATTGTGTCCAACATGAACTCCTGTTCCCAAAGCATATTGGAATCCGATGGCTCAACAATACAATATATTGTGTTTTTCACCTTGGAGCAGAAGTCACTGTGGGGAAAAAAGGGATATATATATAAAATATAGAAGATACACTCTAGTTTGGCCTAGACGTTCATGAAAATAGTTATTGCCATACCCCATGGAACCCCAGAAGTAATCTGTCATGCAATTTTACAAGCTACAGAGTGACAGACATTGAACACAACATTCTTTGCATTAAGTGAAAGAGCACATGTTTTTAGCATTCTAAAATAAGATTTACAGTTCCTATCATGGTCACCATGAAGGTCATCTTTTCAGTGTTCTACTATGTACCTAAAACCTAAATGGACACTCCAAAAGATTAACTACATTGTATCTGGGGCACTTGATGAGGAAACAAAGAGGATCCAAGGAGTAAAAAACTTTTATTTTTTTTTTATTTTTTTTAAATAATGCATAATTCAGCTTAAACTGCAATAGTAAGTCAACATTCTTACAAGTCACAAAGAGTGCAGTGATTGACCGAACAGCCAAGCCACAATACTACTCCATCGCACCGCCTACTCTCAAGCACAAGATAATACATCTCTCCAAAACACTAGTACCCTAAAATCCTTATCAATCATCATTTCAGGAATGGGTGGGTGGTGTACAATAGACTGTAGGATCAAAGATCCCCATACTTAAAGATTTCCCCCAAATTACCTGAATGTAAGGGGGCTTGTGGAAAAATTGATTTTTTAAATTTAATTAGCGCATATTCTTGCCTAGAAAAATCATAGGTGATGCTACACGCTGTGCCCGAAATATTGTAAATTTATGGTTCTCAAAAAATTCCATTCATCTATCAGACATTATGGCATTATCAGTTTTTCAAAGCATTGATACCTACTATCTTTCTTTGTAGACGATTACATTTGTTTTATTAGGGTGATTTACCAACTTCAAGGTATGAATAATTTCCGGTGTGCAGACATCTGTATGTAGACAGTCGATGTATTTATTACATTGGCTAAATCATAGAATTTTGTTTAACTAGAGTTACACCATGCAGCTCGTAATCATCAAAAGATGCTCTAACCTAGCAATGTGGTGTGCCAAATCTTCCACACACAAAAAAAAAAGTAACTGGTTGGAAGATAACAGTTTATCATGGTAATTCTATTGGATTACTGGTCTGATCAATTAGAGGGTTGTGCAGATAGTAAAACCAATGTTAGTTTTTGACTGCTTAAGGACTGATAACAGTCTGTGTCATGATGTTCTGTTCTTTACGGCTCTTACTTGGACAATTGACTGCTGCAGGGCAGAAAGCAGCTACCAAAGTTAAATAAGCAAGACACCCCATGGGTTATTTAGGGACAAACCTGTGATCACAAACATTGACACATTTGGTCCTCAAATGGTTAATATTAGCTCCAGCAGCAACAATGACTCAGTACAGAGTCTGTGATACTAAAGATTCCTTAGTCGCCTGCCATATCTTATTATATATTCTGTCACTGAACCATTCTATTATAGTTTTGTGACTTCATTCAAACTAAAGTCAAATTGTGTATATGACAAGTTCACCTTGAGGTAGTTAGAGATACAAACACAAATACATTGTGATGGGAAAATTGCTACCACCGTTCCTTATTTGGTGCCCTGATTCAGATGTAGTAGCTCTGTAGTCCACGGCCTGAATCTTTAAATGGCACAAGCAACCCATAATGAATTTCTAGTATAAGGATAAAACCACGCCATTTGAGGACTGGGCAAATGCACCTGCAGACAATCGAGCCACCTTTTGATTTACCCTTAAAGGAACACTTTAGGGTCAGGAATAGACACGTGTAGTCCTGATCCGATAGGGTTAAAAACGCTATGTAGGTAGCCGGAACCCGTTGACCCTCTAAAACGTACCTTTATTTCAGTGTCAGGGGTTCCTGCCCCTGATCCACCTCTTGGCTGACTGACATAGATTATCTCAACCAATCCAATGCTTTACCATGGGAAAGCATTGGATTGGCTGAGAGAGTCAATTCTGATGATTTCAGCCAAGCAGGCAGGGTGGAAGGCGAAGACAAAGCGCAGTGAAAAGGCAGTGTTTACATGAAAATGACTATAGACACCAGAACAACTACATTAAGGTGTAGTATTTCTGGTGACTTAGTGTCTCTTTAACTAATTACATGCTCAAAAAGGTCAAATATAAAAAAATATTTCATAATTTTACAGTTATGAATTTACTAGCACACATGTTATTTAAAGTGACACAAATACATTTTAGGCATTACAGGTTCAATTTAATATTTTACCAATCTCTACCTTTAAAGCAGACTGTTGTGGTTATGGTATTTGGAGTGCCCAATTAAACAAACATTAGAACAAACCAGGAAAACCTTTCCACAACAAAAAAGTAGTTCTGCAATACTTTTGCAGGGTTAAAAGTTTTAGTGTAAGCTGTAAAATATAACTCTCACTAACCTGAATAGTTCCCCGTACTTGCTCTTAAGATGGCTGCAAGACATGTACAAGTCATAGAGGTACGCAAGAATGCAACGCTCAGCAGATGAGCCATCTAGCCGATTCATCCCGTGTTTTACAACTCCACACAGCCTGTAAGGGAACAAAGAGTACGCCATATACCTATAAACTTTCATACATATTTTAACAGTCAGTTTCCCCACCCACGTTCATGCTGCTCTATTCTACTATCCAGCCCCCTCTTTTGCACCTATCTCAATAAGCACTCACACGCCTTCCTTTCCCCACTCATTCTTCCCTTGCACCGCTCTCACCCCTCGAAGACCTGTGCTGTCTGCTCCTGACTCAGGATCAGGCAGGTGTTGTAATGTCGTAGAACAGCGACGATGCACAAACACAAACTCATGGTGTAACTGCCGACCAGGCTGGATGACTTCAGTAGGAGCTCTGCTTCTACCACACTCAGTTCATTGAGCAACTGGGGGAGGAAAAGACAGAGGTTAGAAAGAAGCAATGTGATTCAGTACAATGTATGAATGGTGATGCAAGATTGGCAGAAAAGCACACCTGAGAATAGACATAAAAAAGCAAAGGAAAAGGGTACGTATCAGAGAAGAGACAGAAAAGGAGGGGAGTAAAACACACCTGGATGGCAAAGTCAATTAATCCATTAATATTCAGAGAATATTCCATCAAGTCGAAGATGAATTGAACATGTTGTACCAATGGTAGATGATAGGATAGGCCCAGTGCAAAACTGGTAATCTGCTCTAGAACATTTCGAGAGACCTGGGAATTGGGAGATAACTTTTAAAACTGGGCACAGTAAACCAACATGCTCAGTACCATGGCGCAGGCACACAGGCAGGCTCCATAACATTGAGGCAGGCACCCAGGCAGGCTCCATAACATTGAGGCAGGCACCCAGGCAGGCTCCATAACATTGAGGCAGGCACCCAGGCAGGCTCCAGACCATGGCGCAGGCACCCAGGCAGGCTCCAGACCATGGCGCAGGCACCCAGGCAGGCTCCAGACCATGGCGCAGGCACCCAGGCAGGCTCCAGACCATGGCGCAGGCAGGCTCCAGACCATGGCGCAGGCAGGCTCCAGACCATGGCGCAGGCACCCAGGCAGGCTTCCATACCATGGCGCAGCCACCCAGGCAGGCTTCCATACCATGGCGCAGCCACCCAGGCAGGCTTCCATACCATGGCGCAGGCACCCAGGCAGGCTCCATACCATGGCGCAGGCACCCAGACAGGCTCCATACCATGGCGCAGGTACCCAGACAGGCTCCATACCATGGCGCAGGCACCCAGACAGGCTCCATACCATGGCGAAAGCACCCAGACAGGCTCCATACCATAATGCAGGAACTAAGACATACTCGGAACCTCAGTCAGAAATAAAGACAGGTGTAGTACCTCGGGTCCAGGCACACAAACATGCTCAATAGTCTCACATGCATTGCACAGAACCTCAATCAGCCGTAAAGATATACTTAGGTGCAACACATGCTCATTTCGTCCCAAGTCAGATTCATAATAATTCTTGCATAATACAGACTTAATGATTAGACATGCCCATTCAATACCTAGGGTCAGGCTCACAGACAGCTAATGCATGCCATCTCGTACACAGATAGCCTAGTAACTGTTAACAAGATCTAAAGATTAACCTTCTACTGCATTTACACCAGCACATGTACGCATGCCTGTGCATCCTCCTTACCTGGGCAGTTACCTGGTGTTGGTCAAAATGTGAGAGCTGCTGGAATCGACAGAATATTTCCTCTGCTGTAGGAAAGGCCTCAGGCTTAACCCTGCGTCTCCGCTGTCCCTCATTTGACCCTGAGAGAAATGGCAGTTTTCAATTAAAAGCACAACAGATTTTCACCTTAAGGCCAATCTCCTTACTCTCAGTTTCCCTTACCCGTTTCAGCAGTGCTCTTACGGTTCAGCACCTTCAGGATATCTCGTGTGATCCTCTTTATTATATGACGAGCATCATCTCGCTGTCGCCCTACTCCAAAGAGGACAACTAGCCTTTGGTTACACTCATGGCTGCAAGACTCCTCCTAAACAAATACAAAAGAGAAATGGAAGTTTAGTAGGTCTGTGTCACAATGGCAATTTGTTACAAGCGGTGACACTTGGAAACTGACCTGAGGTATGGGGAAGTGTGTGGCATACTGGATGTGTCTTGGTTGCTCATACAAGGAAGAAAGAAGACCGTCTCCACTCAGACCCTTTGTTACACGACGTCCATCACAATCTGCGTCATCTAGACCTGGGCTTCGTGCTTCACGTGTCGCAGGTGAAAACATCTGTAATAAAAAAAGAATGTTACAAGAGTGGCACATTTAAGCAGTCTACCTTTTTTGTGAGTTATTATAAAGTGCATGGGTCATGAAAATGTAATTGAATGCTGTAAACTGAAAATGAACATATCTTCTGGACATTGTGCTAGAGAAATGCACATTTTCAAACTTTTTGCCATTTCTTTTTTTTTTTTTTTTACTTTCTTGGTTTTCATTTCTTCGTTGCCAGCACATTACTAAAGACTACATACTGGCACCCATTGTTGAATGTACGCAAAGCTCCCAGATAATGTGGTGACAATACACAATTCTAGTGCCCTGTAGAACTTGTAATTTAAGATTATGACACTGTACATGCAGCTCTCATGTATGTAACCGTGTGTCTGTCAGTGTAAATGTGTGTGGTTTATCCACTGTATGTGTAGATGTGGGACTTCTGACTGTTTGACATGCATGTGCACCAGGAAGACCTGCAAGTGGCACACACTACACAAGTACACACAAAAGTTAATTGACCAACCGAGATGAGGAGCTAAATAGTTAACCTCTATTCTCTACACACTGCTCCACAAGAAAATTACCAGTAACTGCAGCAGTCAAGTAATTGGGAAAACAACAGACAGACAACGGGTGATATATTTTGAAATTAACAATTACCGGAAACTCGTTTTTTTCCATGTCATCAAACAGAGCTCCTGAACTGTGGTCAATATCCATGGTTTCTGAAAGCGCAGTGTCCTGGGGAGGAGGTAGAATCAATATAAAGTATATGATATTGTATGCATGTAGTATATCTACATATACCCAGACGCACAGAATTAAAACATTGCAACTTATAAGTCATATGGCAAAGCTTGCAGTAAAAAGGCACAATTAGCACCATAACTACTACATTCTGTTGTTGTCAAGCAGTTTGAAACAAACTGTCCCAACCCCCTCGCTTAGCATACTGCTATTGTGGTGGTATAAAGTTCCACATTAGCAATTTTAAACAAGTTTGGATAGCATGCATTGGTGGAGGTGGTTTTGCCCATATGGCGCATCAATGTACAGTGGAGGATTTTGAGAAATTTTATAAACTGACCTATATGCAATATTTCAGAAAGTTCTTTAAAATTACGTTTGATTGTGAAGCACAAGTGCTTCCATTCAACTTCCCAAAAAGATTGTAAATTCCTAATGTTGACTCTTCTACTTCCAAATTCAGCCACTCTACTTTGTACTCACCTCTAGTTTAATGCTACTGTTGGCTTCACCTTCCTTGCGGTCATTGTCATCCGATGGGTCTTCGTAAGGAGAGCGGGGTCGCGGTACATGCCCGTCCAGCCCTAGGTCACCTCTGGATATGAGGGTGCACATGTACATGTTGTGAGAGAAAACATCATGTCGGATCAACTCACAAAAGAGCAGCACCAGGTTATAGAATTCCACACGCTCCGATTCGTTAGCTGGATCAGCTGAATGTGGAGACCATGTTTCAAGGAGAAAATGAAAGAGAAGACATCGTTAGAATGTAATAAACAGCAAGTTAATGTCAGGTTTAAACACTGGTTTCAGACAGGGTAGGATCAAAATAAATTGCACCACTTGAATTGCACACATGCTTTTCTGACCTGCATGGAAATGAACTGGGGACCACAGACCATGCAACAGCTTGAGGTTTCATACAGATCACGCACAGCTTCTCATAGCTCATCACACTTACTTAGAACTGGGGCTTGTGTGTCAAGAAACTGGAGTAAAACTTCCTGGAACACAGGAGGCGAACTCAGAGCAGACAAGGAGCCAGAAGACACAGATCCCTTTTCATCCACTGCCTCAGAGTCTCCACAACGCTGTGAAGATTGTAGAAAGAAAAACGACTTATTGAGAGAAGTTAAGATGAAATGGAGATAGTAAGCAACTCAAATAATTAAGATGCAGTAATTTGAGTGCCTGATAACGTAATAGCACTTACTTCGGCTTCAATCTCCAACTGTCTCTTTTCAAGTAACTTGGCTACAACCAGTGCTCGATGGTGTCCGTAACGCTTACAGCTGACAGCCCATTCACAGAGAAGGGCAACTACAGCATCATCATCTGGAGAGATCTAGTGCCAGAAAAATAAGTAACAATACGGTAAGGAGACCTGAAGCTGTTCTGGAACCAAAATAGCAACAAGAGAAGACTGCAATTCAAAGACCCAAGACAGAGGAGATAGAGGTGGAGCAACACAGAAAGCGGATTTTCACGCTAATCTGACAAACACTCTGGACAGTTATATGTTGACTTGCATTCATCACCTCGTGTCCATCTTTGCCAAGGCCAAGTCCAAAGATCCGGTTATAAAGTGAGTCCAGGTTGTTACTGAAGTCAGATTTTTCAAAACTGTGGCTGTCCAGTACTTCCAGTGTATGGAGAACACGTCCAATTGGAAAACCTGGAAGAGAACACATCTTACAATGACCATTGCTCATTAAGTGAAAGTGGAGCAGTAACCTAGAAAAACCCACATATAATTACCTGCTGTTGCTTCTTGACATTTATCAAATGACCACCTGACCTCCACGGCCCTTCCACGTTCCTTTATCTGTTGTTCCATCTCCCGCAGCTTCCTGCGCACCTGTGAAGTAAATGAGCCGTAAGATTGGTTGGCTCTGGAATGAACCCAAGACACTATGCTCAATGTTATAAAAAAAAAAAAAAAGGCATATATGTAAGATGTGGTTTTATCAAACAACCATATTATGTTTGATCCAATGAGAGATCTGACTGCCATTCTGGGAACGAAAAGGATTTTTCCGTCTTTTGGATCAACATCAAAAACAGATGTGAGAAGGGCTGAACTTGACGGGACTTTTTTTCAGCTATGTAACTATGTCTTCTGATATTTTGCTTTTTTTTCTTACCACACACAAATACCAAGAAATAAAATGAAGCCATCCTAGCGATGTAAAATAGCTGGGTGGTGTTAGTAACATATTGCTAATAGTGTATAGACAGTTATGTACAAAGCATTACTTATAACAAATACACAGTGCAGCAACTGATTTTCTAAAAATGTATTGAATGGAAGTACAAGGACAAACTTTCTACACAGGTAAATAACAAACAGGATAAAAATACACTTGATACTTTCACGTATTTTGTCAAGCACATTTATTATAATATCCAACATGTAAAATGTGTGCCCAATGAAAATGTATTTCCATTGAATACCAATAGAAGTAATGAAAGGCGAACATAATGTGCATTGACTTCCTGCAGTACCTATTCCCAGTAAGCAGTAAATAAGGCTGAATCTGCCCACTACAGATCTGGGACAGACGACCTCACCAATATCCCAATTATTGGTGTGTAATAGATAAGGAGGGTAGCCTGTCACATATGAACAGCCACAAAATCTAAACCACTGACAGGTGAAGTGAATAACATGGATTACATCATGACAATGGTATCTGTCAATGGGTGGAATATATGAGGCAGCAAGTGAACAGTACGTTCTTGATTTTTGTATATCCAATTCAAAATGACTTATCTTATCTCACTTTCACCCATTTCTGAGGATGAGTTACTAACCTGCTGAGTGAAGGCAGAATTACCCCCAGGCATTGGTAAGCTGGACGGGGCGATAGGAAGATGATCCAAGGGCGATCCAGTCTTTATGCGGTTATCAGTTAAAGAGTAATGCCAAACAAGGGCACTGGGACAGCAAAGGACAATGCTCTGCAAAGAGAGAACAATTTGAAACACCTGCATTTTTAAACTTCTTCAAGCTTGGTGTTGGATAAAGACAGTATGATTGATCCTAGAGGAAAGTCAAATTCGCAATACATGGGCGAGAAACACATACACCAAAACTTTTTGACTCCATGTGCAAAAAGCAGACACCTATGTGAACAAGACAATTACTACCAAAAAGTGAAACAGTACCTGTAACATACAGCTTAGCCCAAATACCAGGGGCCGATGCTGGGGGCAGTGAAGAAGATCACTAAAAGGAGACGAAGGGGCAGACCCAGAAGGAGGAGGGGGTGCAGGAGCTGGGGGAAGAGCATTGCCCGTCTGTGCTGTCAGGAGGTGTCCGGTATGGCTCCCACTGCCCTCCAACTGCTGTGCTAGACGCCTTGTGCAAAAATAGGCCAAACGCCTGGAGAGGTATGCAGACTGAACCAGAGAACCCGAATACTGGGGACAGACAAGTTAAGATTAATAAGGTAAGTGATTTGTACGAAACCCACAATTAGTGTACTAGTACTCGTAACTCACACGCAGTAAAAGGGGGAGCAGCAGTTTCAGAAGTTCATCTTCCCCAGCACGGATCTTCTCAAAACACTCCAGGACCCAGGTAAGAAACTCATGGCGATCCAACATCCCATCCTATATATTGATTCAAATAATCAGTTAGATTTCTTAACCTCCCTTTCTAAATTCACAGAACTCTATGAATTAAACCCTGAAAGGCTTACTTCAACCACCAAGACCACTTCAGTTATTTGAAATTGTCTTAGAGGTAGGAATTTGGAGGTGCAGTGTTTCCGCTTCAAACACTGCACAAACTGAGATATTTTTAATTGTGAGCTGGGGCTAGTTGCACCCAGTAAATGCTTATCCATAGAGGCAGCGGCCCACTAGATTTTCTTGCAGAATTTTATTTTTTTTATTGAAAATAAACTATATTTTTAAACAAGCATTTTTAAAACATGTGTGTGATAAAAATGTGTTCTGTCACTTTAAATATTGTTACTGTAGTTCCCTCTGTTGTTATTAGGGTAAAGTACTCTATTTCACCGACCGTCACTGGCTGCCCGGCAGCCCCCTATTGTTCCCTAATGGAACTCATAAGGGCGCCAAATCGGTGGGACAACAAAACAGGCTTAGTAAACATGCCAGACTACCAGCCTGACTACACTGCACTGTATTGACACTGCACTGTGCTCAGGAATACTGTCAGCAGGCACTGCTTTAACACTGGATGCCTGTCACTGTGCTCACAGTGTTCCCGGCTCTCCCCTCAGCTGCATTTTGATTATCAAACCTAGCGGCAGGCATCGTAACACCAGGTGCCTGCTGCCGTGCTCACATTGTTCCTGGTTCCCTCCTTAGCTGTATTTTGATTACTAAAACTAGCAGCAGGCAACGCTTTACCACCGCATAAAACGGCTGCCGGGTTCACTCCCCAGCTCTCCTGACACCCCCAAAAAGGCACAATAGTGACTCCAATAGTGGGTGCCTGTCACTAAAGCAGCTTGGCCACTGGGAAAAATGCTTTTTTTATTTTATATATATTTTAAAGTTAATATAATTTTACTTCAGTTATACATTCTTTTCCTGAGGATAATCTCCTCATGAGAATATTTCATAACTAAAAATTTTAATGCAAATACATCTGCTTCAATGTATGTTTTTTTCCTATTAAATCAATTTTTAAATTTACTGTTAAATATTTGTTAAAATATAGAATGTAAGCTCGATTGAGCAGGGTCCTCTTCAACCTATTGTTCCCGTAAGTTTTTTGTAATTGTCCTATTTATAGTTAAATCCCCCTCTCATAATATTGTAAAGCGCTACGGAATCTGTTGGCGCTATATAAATGGCAATAATAATAATAATTATTATTATTATTAAAGTAATATCCTTTAGCGGCATCTTGTGGCTTTACTCTGTATTGCAGTTTAAATTTTCGTTTGGCCTAAAAGAGACTATTTATTTTACTCATTAATAAGAATATATCTATAAGTTTTATATATGGTATCGTCCACGTATTTGGAGGTATGTAGACTTATTCCTATTCTTGATTAACAATATTTATGGACAGTTTCGAATACATGTGTATTCGACTGTGTCAAGTCTGGCGCCCCACCAACTTAAAAAGTCACCAATCACCACTGTTTGCACTCCCAGCACACGTGACTTTCAGTGCACATTTTATTCCCGTGCATTGATTTTTATGCCTGTGTCTGTCTGTGCACGCTGCGAACAGAAAGCATAATGCAATGTCCTGGATCTGCCATGTTATCCCATTGTATAGCGCAACGGAATCTGATGGCGCTATATAAATAATAAAATAATAATCAATTGTATTCTGTTAGCTCTATTTTCAATTTGTAGTGTATCTTCAAATCTTTGACAGCCATAATCTCATTTTAATACACACAAGGCTGGAAGAAGGATTCCCAGAATTCACATGAGGTGGGGAATGTTAAGCACAACACACAGTGACCAGAAATGCAGTCACTCACCTGGAACATAAACATGGCAAGTTTCTCGTTATATTCCCACTGCTTTAGTGCCAGTTCTATCTCTGGTGGCATTGGCCCAGGAGTAGAGACACAGCCTCCAGAAATCTGACGGTAATACTCAGCAATTTTCTGTAATTGTTCCCACAGGTACCGGGTGATAATCTGTGTCCATTCTGCAGAGAGCAAATAAATGAATGACTCAATCCACTGAAATCCTACTTGTAGCACTCACGGTGCAACCTGGGCCCTTAGAAATTGAGTAATCAATACCTATGAAAGGATCCATGACATGTCTTTTCTTTACTTTGGTTTCTGTAATGGCTGCATAATAGGCACAGGTCATCTTAATGAGCCAGGCTGCTCTCATCACAGGCACAGAGTAACGTGCTAGGAAACCAAACACTTCCTCCTTCTTGCCGAATATGGGCACCTGATCATCGCAGAAAAACAGGTTATTTAAGCGTAAACACATATTTACATTCCTATAAAAACACAGTTCACATACAGTAACCATACAAAGAGTGGGTGAAATGGGCATAGACATACGATAGCACAACACCAAATAAAGAGTTGTATTCTAGTGCATTGAAATATCACTATGAAGCATTCACACACGTCCAATACCAGCACCTACAATACCATATAACACACATTTAAATAATATCTACAAATCCTAAATACAGCATCACTGCCACATACATCACACAGACGAAAGTCATCGGGTGCATACACAAACATCCCTTTATACAATCACAGACAGACAGAGCAGGATAAAGTACTGTGAACACTTACCTTCTTGGCGAGGTGAGTCAGAGGCTTGGTTCCTGCCAGGTCAGTAAACCAGTTATTGATGGAGCTCTGCGAGCGAGCAGTCACGAGCCAAAAGTTATCCTTCTGGTTAACCTGTGGTTTCCTGCGACCAGTATCTGGCAGAGTGTTGCATCGCAACTTTTCTGCCATGATATTGCTGAAGTTCGAACTGATCTGTGGTTGTGGGGAAGGGGTAGAAATGAACCAAGTGAGTAGCAGGAAAAATAAAAAATTAGGCTGCAAATCTTGGGGACCAGTGAACAAAACGCACATGGGATGAGGAAAGGTGTGTACATGGTGGCCATTGGAAGGCAGAGCGGTCATTTGCTGGGTTATGGGAAAAGGTGATTTACCTTGGCAGGGTTAAAGTTAACATTTTTGGCGCTGCCATGTTCATCTCCTGATACGGCTGGTTGATTGTTGAATCCTTGTTTCACATTCAATGCTGTTAGTTCATCCTAAATAAACAGAGGGGGAAAAATGAATATCTCCTGGATTCAACCCATAGCCTTGCACGAGAGAGACACTATACATCGTGGTTATAAACAAAAGGAGTTCAGAAAGCACAGAGATGGGTCAAGATGTAGCTGAATTTTTTTATCTTGAGCTATTCATTACACAAAGATCAAAGTTACCTCTGCCTAGCCCAGAAAAATGAGAAATCAGTCACATCAGCTCAATTCTAAATGAACTGGCTTGAAAGCTTTCTAAGCTTGTTACAGACAGAATTAGCATACGGAATGGGCCTCATTCATATACTATTATTCTAATAATGTTGAAAGCAACAAAGAGGTCTCATACAGAGTGTCATCTTAATGTAGTGCTGCTTCTTAACATGATTGGAGTGTTGGTTTAATAAATTTAACAAGAACTATGTCTGGCAGGGTATGAGAGATGAAGGCTTTATATCGATCTGCCTCACACTATGCACTAGTAACAGGACTGAGCACAGCTAGCTTGTAGTACTGAGAGATACTTTGGCTACAGTTGCCCCAAATTCTATCTCAGGAGTTTAGCACAGAAAACTAATGGGAACTACAACCAACAACCTGATCTACATAAAATGGCTTCATTAAAGAACATGTGCCTCACAGTTGTAATATCTCATGTACTGCAAGCAATGAACGTTATTTCTCAGTGGCTACCATACCCTTCCTCAACTTAAGAGTAATAACCAGCCAGTATATCATTCATTGCTGCAAACTATTTGTAAACCGTGATAATGTAAATCACTGTCAAGTGAATCCCGCAGCCAGTACTGCATTCATTATTGAATAGCATTAATGTGCCATTCAGTTTGGATTTTATTATCCTGACCGTTGTCTCCTGCTGACCTTGGGACGCCGCACACCACCTATATCCCTGGTGGGGGTGGCACCACCTGTGCAAGTCAATTTGAACATTATAGTTCTCTGGACGCTGTAAGTGGTACCTAATCTCTTTATATAAGATCTATTTACAGTGTTCACTATAGCTGCCTGCAATACTCCTGAAGACACCCAGTCTGTACTATTACTGAAGATAAACACACCGGAGCAGGAATTGTTCTGCTCAATACTAGGATACCTGAGCTCAAGAAGTTCTGGCAGATGGGAGTGTGTATATATACGGATATAGCCATACAGTCCATACTGGACTACTTTACTTTTTCTGTTTTTGGCTCCCTTATTATACCAATGACGGTCACACCTGAAGCAACATGTGGACATTGTTTCTTCTTGAATCACACATACTATAAATGGAACAGACCCAAAATGCCTACGATCCATCTCTTACCTACCCTAGAGCAAGGATTGCATCACTCAGAATTGCCATACAGGAGCTACTGGAAAAGTAAATGGAAGTAATGGAATTCCACAAGAAATTATACCAATTCAGAAGCAAAGAGCTGCACAGAGCCTAATTTTGCTATTTATTGTCACAAGTGCAGAGATTTCAAACAAGGCCTTCGACTTCCAGCTGCTCAATGTATTCCAACAAGATAGGTCCTAATCCCAAATACAGGTTGCTCATGTGTCCTTAATCTTATACAAGCCACAATGTAATCTTTGCCTGTATATGCGTGTGATGGGTTTAATCACTGTCTGTATGTATCATGGGGACAATCAAATCAGAGCAGATCTATGCCAAACGCTGATTGGCAGAAGTAATTTATTTAGAGAACAAAGGCTGATGTGTTTCTGGGTATTAGTAAAGTGACATCCTCCCCCATTTACAACCAAAGAAAGCAGACAATTAAACTACTACTTCCACAAACCCCTACCATGCACATAAATCAATGATTTATAGCCAGTAACATTAGCTAGATTACGTACTGTTTTGTAGGGAGGGCACTGAAAAAATTATATATTTTTTGTACACTGCACGCCCAGTCATACTGAATAGCTTTTTTTGCAGACAGGAACTCCATAATGAGTAAGTTAGACTGACATTCCCTGGTAAGGGTGGAGTTTTGGCAGTAACGGCTCCTTTATTTAATTTTTTTTTTTGCCACAATTACTGGAAAACTGATCAACAACCAGAAGGACAGCACACACAGACTCAATGTATTGCAACAACTACAGTAAGCCAGTGTTACAATGAATCCTCAAAGAACCATAGAAATGTATGCTTATTGCAAAAGGTATGACGCAGGGAGGTCTTAATCTCTATGTCCCTACACACAGCTGCTTACAACTACAATAACCTGCAAAAAAAAACAACAATTAAATGCACTTAATTAAATAAATAAAATTATTGCAATAAGTCTGCACCTTCAGTCTTACACGACAATGGAAGATGCCACACTTCCTCTTCTGCCTGAATGCAAATGTGCGTTCACTATGTACTCTTCTGTTCATAAAATTAAACAGTCAACAGGCTGATCATGACACTTAATTGCATAAAAGACAAGTATTTTATTTTCCACAAAATCTTCCCTTAAAGAGACACAATAGTCACAAAAACAACTTTTGCTTACCGTATTTTTCGCTGCATAAGACGCACCTCACCATAAGACGCACCTAGTTTTTAGAGGAGGAAACCCAGAAAAAAAAATATTCTGAACAAACTGTTCCATAGTGTTTCTTACTATGGGACAGTTTGTTCAGAATATTTTTTTTTCTCCCCTGTCCCATAATGATCTTTAACCCCCCTTTCCTCTGTCCCACAGTGATTGTTAACCCCTCCTACCCTGTCCCATAGTGATTGTTAACCCCTCCTACCCTGTCCCATAGTGTTCTTTAACTCCTCCTCCCCTTGTCCATTAGTGTTCTGATCCCATAGTGTCCCCCCTCCCATTGTCCCATAGTGCACTTTCCCTCCCATAGTGTCCCCCCCTGCCCTTGTCCCATAGTGTCCCCCCCTGCCCTTGTCCCATAGTGTCCCCCCCTCCCCTTGTCCCATAGTGTCTCCCCTCCCTTTCTCCCATAGTGTCCCCCTCCCCTTGTCCCATAGTGTCTCCTCCCCTCCCCTTGTCTCATAGTGTCTCCTCCCCTCCCCTTCTCCCATAGTGTCTCCCCTCCCTTTCTCCCATAGTGTCCCCCTCCCCTTGTCCCATAGTGTCTCCCCCCCTCCCCTTGTCCCATAGTGTCTCCTTCCCTCCCCTTGTCCCATAGTCTCCTCCCCTCCCTTTCTCCCATAGTGTCCCATTCCCCTTGTCCCATAGTGTCTCCCCCTCCCCTTGTCCCATAATTACTTACCTGTCTTGGAGCGTGGGCCGGCTTCACAGCGCGCTCCGCGGTCCAGGAACTTCTATTTCAGGTTCCGGTTTCCGGCGGGACTGAAAGGAAGTGTGCACACTGAGTGTGCACTTCCTTTCAGTCCCGCCGGAAACCGGAACCTGAAATAGAAGTTCCTGGCCGTGGAGCGCGCTGTGAAGCCGGCCCACGCTCCAAGACAGGTAAGTAATTCTTCACATTCGCTCCATAAGACGCACAGACATTTCCCCTCACTTTTGAGGGGGAAAAAAGTGCGTCTTATGGAGCGAAAAATACGGTAATTATTCAGTTTTTGATCAGACTAATGCAGTCTCAGGTTTTAAATCACTTTTGTTTCTGTTTATGTAGCACTAGCCAAACCTCCCCTGGCAGTGACTTACACAGCCTGCATGGAAAAATGGTTGTTCTCCGAAGTTAACTTGCTTTAGAAGTTTTTATCTCCTGCTCTGTAAAGTAAACTTTAATCACACACAGGAGGTTCCAGCTGGGTGTAGAAAGGCTATTAACAAAGCTGGAGAAAATAAATTAAACAGACTGCAATAAAGGAAGTTTAAACATTAGATCTCTCTTTACAGGAAGTGTTTAGTAAGGCTGTGCACTTAACATGCAGGGAGGTGTGACTATGGCTGTATAAACAATGTGATTTAACTCTAATTGATCAGTAAGCTTGCAGGGGCATGACCTATACACCAAACTGCTTCATTGAGCAGTCCCTTTAAAATAAAAGAGTACATATAGTAAAATATCATCTGTTGCAGACTACACACAGAACTCTTTGTATGCGCAAAATATTCACATTTACAGACCTTGTATTAAAATCACCCAGAGTCCTTGTATGTAAATTGTGTATTAATCAGAATATCCACCACTCCTGTCTGGGTCTGTTAATTCCCCTGTTCCTGCTAGTTATTATTTAAGGTGCCCAGATATACTTGCTTGTCCAAAAGCGCCCACTAAACCACTCCAGGGAATCGCTGAACGCAGGATACTTCCCTGTATGGAACCACTCTACTATGTAGTGTCAGATAGTCCACATAGCTAAACCAACAGGTTTTGTCTGATCACTCAGAATTCCTCAGGTCAAGTGACTTTCTATTTAGTGATGGCATGATAAAGGTCACAGATGGTGATTAAAAAGTTAAATTCACTTCACTGAGTGCCTGGGCTTTCTTTGATTTGCTGGAATCCTGTTACTTGGGGTTGGGGGCGACCCTAGGCTTGGAGCACCATTGAGGTAGTTTGGATTATTTAGGAGTGCAGTTCCCTTCACTGAAAATACACAGTATATTTTGAGCCTAATTATACAGCCATTTTAGCATCAATCTTTTTTCAAAGTTTAAGAAGGCATTTCTTCAAAAAATGGCAAACTAAAAATTGATACATGGTGAGTTTTTTGGGGCATTTTGGTAGCCCACGGATTTCAAATAATCACCAAATGCATATTAGTTTCCAAAAATGGTCACCATGGGGACTCTCACTTGATATATTTTGAGCTTTATTAAGTTGCAATTTTTTCACTGTTTTTTTTCTTTTCTTCAAATGTTCTGGTTCCAATTTTTATTCTTTCAATTTTTACACAAACGTATTTTTTATGATAATTTTAAATCTTATGTGTCCCACTGTATTGAGCAACATCTCATAAATACATCTGTTGCAAAGTAATCTTAAACCCAATCTAAAACCTTAAACATAAAACAAACCCTAATTCTAAACCAAATCCTAATTCCAAATATAATTCTAACTCTAACCTCACCTCAATCTTAACCCATACCATAATCCTATGCCTAACCATAATTATAATCTCAATCCCAACCCCTAGCAATAATGTTCAAATGATTCCCTGCTGATGTCAGAAGAGGAATTCTCTAGCAGGCCCTAATCTGAACCCTGCATGAAAGGCAGATGTTTGTCTTCCTGAAAATAGCATGTCCAATGCATTGTGACGGTGCTGGGCAGCTAGCAAAAAGCATTTATCATTTTTTTTAAATAAAAGAAAATTGGTATTAGGGAAGGAAGGAGACCCTGGCGGTGTCCCAGGCACCAGATCCACTAAAGGAATCACTGTGGCTGAGCTAGATTACTCAACCATGGTGTTCTAGATTTAGTTAAATACCTGTATTCAGTGCTGGGTTTCATCACTGAATGCAGCTCATTAAAATGGCCCCAGCTGACCGAGGGGAGGTCTTCCTTATGTAAGCAGGTATTTAACCCTGCTCAAATTACTTTGCTACAAATCCTCATTGAAAGTGCTATATGCCAAATTCACTTGGTGCTCAGCATGGAGCTTGACAGTCTGGGGTCACTAAAAAGGGCCTCAGCTGTTAATGGAGACCCCAGGTATCTAATGATACCTACGACTCCCTGGTATGAGCAGGGTTTAAACGTCCACACACCAAGATCTAGCTAGGGTTCCATATCCACCATGTTTTCAGGGACACAGATCACGTATACATATTGATGGGCAGCACATCGAAAGGGTTGCCCTGTAGTATGTAGAATTCAAAAGAGGTGTATCAGATCAAGTAATTATACAATAAAGAATCCTGCAGAATGCATTTTACATACTGGTATGGTCAGCCCTCTTCATGCATTTTCAAAATATGACAAAATTACGTGTCGCTGAAGACATGGTGGATATGGTAACCTTAGCTATAAACATTTACATGCCTATAGAAGAGGCTGCATGCCATGCTGAATGCAGCTTATCAAAAAGTCTGGAGCCACTAAAAATAGCCCCAGCTGACACAGGGGAGCCCCAGGTATCAATTGATACCTTCGACTCCTAGGTGTTTGCAGGGATTTAGCCCTGCTCACACTGCATTGTAGCAGTGGGGACTTAAATATCTATATAAATAGATAGTTGTTTGAAGCGCAGTGAACAGGGCATCGGTCAGTCTGGAGCTGCAAATTCTGGACCCAATGAAAGAGAGGAGCCCCAGTCATCAAATGACACCTGGAGTTCACAATTTTGATGTATGTTAATGTTTTATTTAATAGAGAGCAGGGGGTCCAATAATTAACATTTCCAATAAAACCCTCCAATGTTACAAATAATGTAATGTTCATAAATAAGTTTCACCTGCAAATCACCAATGCTCGACTGGCAAAAAAATTTTTTGCAGATCACACATGGGCTTTCACACATTTAGAAGTACCATAATATAATATTTTGAACCATGTAAAGGAAATATTTCCATGATGGAAAAACAGAAAAACAGAATGTTCTAGCCTTATTCCACAGCTGTAGGTACACCGCCACCTAGTTAGATCTTGTAATGTTTCTATCAGTGGAAAGTATAGGTATGTAGTGACTAATAAAATATGGTATATCATCTTGATAAAGTCCCTGTTCAAAACCTTTATTTAGATTTCCTATGTAAAGGCAAGGTCTAATTGATAAGAGTTCATAGCTATAACAAAAGCGCTTTTAAATGATAAATGAGGACGTTGCTGAATACCACTGTTAGGGAATTTAACCCCTTAAGGACACATGACATGTCTGACATGTCATGATTCCCTTTTATTCCAGAAGTTTGGTCCTTAAGGTGTTAAAGAAGATTGTAATATTAGGAAATCAATGGTTAAAATTGTGTGGAAAGACAACTGTAAATTTTGGGAAACTGTGATTGTGACGGTAGTAAACTGTATCACCGTCCAGTATTCCCTTCTTCCCATCAAAATAAAATCACCCAGTAATCCACAGAGTAATAAATCGCTGGTATCCACACATGAGCCAAAGCTTAATGCTGGAACAAGACTGATTTACTGGAAGCAACAGGCATTCAATGTATACAGTAACAGACTCCTCCTCTAGGCCAGGCTAGATAATTGAGTTTCAGCAACATACTAAACTCAATTATCTGCTGGCCATTACAATTTTCAACATTTTAAGAAAAATACTTTATGCATAACAGAGAAATATATAAACCATATCCCTGGGTAGCTGAGGATACTGGGAGTCACACATCCAAATTTCACGAAAATCAGTTCGGTAGTTTCCGTGTCGCATTGTGTGGAAGTTTGACCGGCTCACCATGTGGTGGTATCCGATTTAGATTTCCATGAAATCAGTAGCAATAGCTGGTCTCTGTTCGCGCAGAATTACATGAAAACTACCATAGGTATGTTGCAGCTTAAAACTCCCGAACGCCGGTTTGATACTATGGGTGGAAATAGGTCAGACGGGACTTCCATAATGACCGGACGTTCGTGTGATTGCCATGCCAAAAACAGTTCCAGGCAACCCACGAGTAAGTCCCGCTGACCGCATTCTGAAGATTTAAGATGGCCGCCATCCTTTGTTCTCATCACGTGTTCGTATGCCGAATGGCGGCCACCTAGAAGCACTCAATTAAGTTGCGGTTTTTCGAGTGGTTACTCGGTGTTCCAAATTCTGATTGCTACCCAGGGTGGTCTCTGTTCGGTAGAACGAAAAACATTTCCCGAACACATAATTAAAACGAAACATTCAAAGGTAGTTAAAGAGCAGGGAGAGGACACAACCGAATGAACACAGGTGAATGCAGGGAAATCGTTTACAGTGATTAAAAAGGATCAAAAACTCAAAATAGCAAGCGAAACGGTTTGGGGGAGATCTGAACAATATGCCAACAGCTATTCCACTTACTTGAATCTAAATGGCAAATATATATTTGCGCTTTTTTCCCCAAACACAGTGACCACTAAAGAGTGCTGTAGTAGTTATGGTTCTAGGAGTTCCCTGGCGCACAGCCAAAGTAATTTCAAACTGTTTTACAGCGGTTTGATGACGAAGCTGGTTCCTGCCCTGTGTCTACGGCTACAGTGCCGGACAGCATAATCACTATAGTAGACTGTAGGGGCTATGGTGCGTGAAGTGTCTCTTTAATATTTTATTCACACTTAAAGGGACACTCCAGACACAAACTAAACATTAATGGAGTCTATAGCTATAAACCCCTAACATCTACAGCGTGCCCTACCCTCCCTAAGCACCACAACAATTCCTTCATATGGGTTGTCCATTCCAGCGAACAGGGCCTTTATCACATCTTGTTTGCATTTATTTAAGTATGGTTTGCATATCCACAGTGCAGTTCCGCAGCATAGACAGACAATTTAGAAATACAAATGTACTATTCCTCTCATTCATCCAGGATACAGCAAGACTGTTTTAAAGTCAGACTCAAGTCTCACCATCCCCAGTTACTGTTCTTAAACAGTATTCAGAAGTGGGAAAAAAAAAAAAAAAAATCTATAAATTGATCAGCCTTTTTTTAAAGAGAGGGCCTCTGACACATTCTAATTAGCAATGTGTTCTATTCTCCCTACTTATCGTTCATTCTATATTACCACTAACCCCAGCATGTTCAGCCACCAATCTATTTACTAAGATTTAAAAAACATTTTGTAAAATTTATGTCAGTCAACAATATTAAAAGGTATTTCCATGTTTATTTAAACAACAAACTGGTTAGGTAAGTAGCACATTTAATGTATGGAAATAATAAACATTTTGCTACTGTGTGGATGGTGATAGATAATAGCCACATTTTTTGGGTTTTTTTTTGTTGTGTTGCTATTCTGTGAATTGCAGATAGCTTTTTAACATTGGTTGTTGGTAAGACTTATGTTCAGCGGTATGTAAACCCCAGACCTGCCAATACCAAATATCCTACCTAGTTTGGCTTAAAACCATAAAGAGTAACAATCCAATGAATAGAATACTCAAAACCAACCTATCCACGTCCTACGCTTTTCCTCTTGCCTATTAGAGCATTGTATGGGACAGAAAATGTGATTTAGTCCGTGTCTACACTACAATACAAAATGGCCTGCACTTACCACAACCTGCGGCCCCAAATGAATTTGCACAGAGTAACTCAGATGTTGTTTTAGAGTATATTGTACAATGCGCGAGTCTTACCACTGTGCCACCTATTAATCAAGGACCAGAAAGTGGTATAACCCAAGGCCCCAATCCACATTTAAAATGTATCGACTTTCCATTGCAAGCTGACATTTAAACCCCTTGTTGACAGGAAAGGTACACTACAGATTTAACTGTAAGTCCAGCCTGACAGACCCATTCACATTTAGCCTCCAGTATGGCAGAGAGAACCAACATATATCCCCTTTCATGTCAGAGACAAGCCACTTTGCTGCTCACTCATTCCCTGACAGACACACAGATCCTCTAACATTTAACCCCTTCCCTCCCAGAGTCTGATCCATTGTGTTAACACCTTCCTGCCAGGACTGAATTGGAGGAGGCACCATGTGAAGCTGTTTACCACAATCTTATGAGTTTTATTTCATCAATCACATTCTAATTTACATTATTGGATTATACTATGTTGTATTTTATTTCAATATAAGGTTAGCCAATTCCCAATTCTTTGGTAGAGTGATTGAATTGCCCTTTAACCCTGTCTACATTTAGCCCCTTTCTTGAAGGAAGCACATATATCCTCCCCTATCAGAGACACACAACACACATTTAAAGTCCCCATTGTCAGACCTGCACCTCTGATATTTAACCTTATCTGTCAATATATGACCATTGCTAAATGTGACCCCTCAGATGCTGGACCTCATCCTACCAATCAGACCTGCACCTCAGATATTTAACACCTCCTCTGTCAGGTATATAACCATTGCTATATTTGACCCCTCAGGTGCTGGACCTCATCCTGCCAACCAAGCTCCTTTATGGCAATTTGGCATTGTAAGATAGGTATAACCCCACCAATAAATTAAGCTTAAATGAATAACCTTTGCATTCTACAATAGCAATTTGACCATATTATAGAGAAACATTAAATTAATGGTCTGCCCCGTCAGGGATTTCAGCAATCATTTACCCTCCATGTATTCTATATCCCAGTCACCCTTTCCCTATGTTAATTTCCCACCATGGTTTGGTCTTTCTCCCCCTTTTCATCATCCCCCCCCTTGAGTGTCCCAGTCCACATAAAGCCTAGTCTTGCCTGTTCACCTACTTGTTAGGACCTGTACATTTACCCATACTGCCTCTCAGCGTCCCTGTGTAGATAAAGTCCAGTCTTCTCTGTGTATTTCCATGTTAGACCCTGTCCATTTACCCATAATGCCCCTCAGTGTCCCACTCCTCCCTGTGTATTTCCATGTTAGACCCTGGCCATTTACCCATAACGCCCCTCAGTGTCCCAGTCCTCCCTGTGTATTTCCATGTTAGACCCTGGCCATTTACCCACAATGCCCCTCAGTGTCCCACTCCTCCCTGTGTATTTCCATGTTAGACCCTGTCCATTTACCCATAATGCCCCTCAGTGTCCCAGTCCTCCCTGTGTATTTCCATGTTAGACCCTGTCCATTTACCCATAATGCCCCTCAGTGTCCCAGTCCTCCCTGTGTATTTCCATGTTAGACCCTGGCCATTTACCCACAATGCCCCTCAGTGTCCCAGTCCGCCCTGTGTATTTCCATGTTAGACCCTGTCCATTTACCCATAATGCCCCTGTCCTCCCTGTGTATTTCCATGTTAGACCCTGGCCATTTACCCACAATGCCCCTCAGTGTCCTAGTCCTCCCTGTGTATTTCCATGTTAGACCCTGTCCATTTACCCATAATGCCCCTCAGTGTCCCACTCCTCCCTGTGTATTTCCATGTTAGACCCTGTCCATTTACCCATAATGCCCCTCAGTGTCCCACTCCTCCCTGTGTATTTCCATGTTAGACCCTTGCCATTTACCCATAATGCCCCTCAGTGTCCCAGTCCTCCCTGTGTATTTCCATGTTAGACCCTGGCCATTTACCCATAATGCCCCTCAGTGTCCCAGTCCTCCCTGTGTATTTCCATGTTAGACCCTGGCCATTTACCCATAATGCCCCTCAGTGTCCCAGTCCTCCCTGTGTATTTCCATGTTAGACCCTGGCCATTTACCCATAATGCCCCTCAGTGTCCCAGTCCTCCCCATGTTAGTATTTACCCATGTTCAGTGTCCCAGTCCTCCCTGTGTATTTCCATGTTAGACCCTGGCCATTTACCCACAATGCCCCTCAGTGTCCCAGTCCTCCCTGTGTATTTCCATGTTAGACCCTGGCCATTTACCCACAATGCCCCTCAGTGTCCCACTCCTCCCTGTGTATTTCCATGTTAGACCCTGGCCATTTACCCACAATGCCCCTCAGTGTCCCAGTCCTCCCTGTGTATTTCCATGTTAGACCCTGGCCATTTACCCACAATGCCCCTCAGTGTCCCAGTCCTCCCTGTGTATTTCCATGTTAGACCCTGTCCATTTACCCATAATGCCCCTGTCCTCCCTGTGTATTTCCATGTTAGACCCTGGCCATTTACCCACAATGCCCCTCAGTGTCCCACTCCTCCCTGTGTATTTCCATGTTAGACCCTGTCCATTTACCCATAATGCCCCTCAGTGTCCCACTCCTCCCTGTGTATTTCCATGTTAGACCCTGGCCATGTACCCACAATGCCCCTCAGTGTCCCAGTCCTCCCTGTGTATTTCCATGTTAGACCCTGGCCATGTACCCATAATGCCCCTCAGTGTCCCAGTCCTCCCTGGGTATTTCCATGTTAGACCCTGGCCATGTACCCATAATGCCCCTCAGTGTCCCAGTCCTCCCTGTGTATTTCCATGTTAGACCCTGGCCATGTACCCATAATGCCCCTCAGTGTCCCAGTCCTCCCTGTGTATTTCCATGTTAGACCCTGGCCATGTACCCATAATGCCCCTCAGTGTCCCAGTCCTCCCTGTGTATTTCCATGTTAGACCCTGGCCATTACCCACAATGCCCCTCAGTGTCCCACTCCTCCCTGTGTATTTCCATGTTAGACCCTGGCCATTTACCCACAATGCCCCTCAGTGTCCCAGTCCTCCCTGTGTATTTCCATGTTAGACCCTGTCCATTTACCCATAATGCCCCTCAGTGTCCCACTCCTCCCTGTGTATTTCCATGTTAGACCCTGGCCATTTACCCATAATGCCCCTCAGTGTCCCAGTCCTCCCTGTGTATTTCCATGTTAGACCCTGGCCATTTACCCATAATGCCCCTCAGTGTCCCACTCCTCCCTGTGTATTTCCATGTTAGACCCTGTCCATTTACCCACAATGCCCCTCAGTGTCCCAGTCCTCCCTGTGTATTTCCATGTTAGACCCTGTCCATTTACCCATAATGCCCCTCAGTGTCCCACTCCTCCCTGTGTATTTCCATGTTAGACCCTGGCCATTTACCCATAATGCCCCTCAGTGTCCCACTCCTCCCTGTGTATTTCCATGTTAGACCCTGGCCATTTACCCACAATGCCCCTCAGTGTCCCAGTCCTCCCTGTGTATTTCCATGTTAGACCCTGTCCATTTACCCACAATGCCCCTCAGTGTCCCAGTCCTCCCTGTGTATTTCCATGTTAGACCCTGTCCATTTACCCATAATGCCCCTCAGTGTCCCACTCCTCCCTGTGTATTTCCATGTTAGACCCTGTCCATTTACCCATAAGGCCCCTCAGTGTCCCACTCCTCCCTGTGTATTTCCATGTTAGACCCTGTCCATTTACCCACAATGCCCCTCAGTGTCCCAGTCCTCCCTGTGTATTTCCATGTTAGACCCTGTCCATTTACCCACAATGCCCCTCAGTGTCCCAGTCCTCCCTGTGTATTTCCATGTTAGACCCTGTCCATTTACCCATAATGCCCCTCAGTGTCCCACTCCTCCCTGTGTATTTCCATGTTAGACCCTGTCCATTTACCCATAAGGCCCCTCAGTGTCCCACTCCTCCCTGTGTATTTCCATGTTAGACCCTGTCCATTTACCCACAATGCCCCTCAGTGTCCCAGTCCTCCCTGTGTATTTCCATGTTAGACCCTGTCCATTTACCCATAATGCCCCTCAGTGTCCCAGTCCTCCCTGTGTATTTCCATGTTAGACCCTGTCCATTTACCCATAATGCCCCTCAGTGTCCCACTCCTCCCTGTGTATTTCCATGTTAGACCCTGTCCATTTACCCACAATGCCCCTCAGTGTCCCACTCCTCCCTGTGTATTTCCATGTTAGACCCTGTCCATTTACCCATAATGCCCCTCAGTGTCCCAGTCCTCCCTGTGTATTTCCATGTTAGACCCTGTCCATTTACCCATAATGCCCCTCAGTGTCCCACTCCTCCCTGTGTATTTCCATGTTAGACCCTGTCCATTTACCCATAATGCCCCTCAGTGTCCCACTCCTCCCTGTGTATTTCCATGTTAGACCCTGTCCATTTACCCATAATGCCCCTCAGTGTCCCAGTCCTCCCTGTGTATTTCCATGTTAGACCCTGTCCATTTACCCACAATGCCCCTCAGTGTCCCACTCCTCCCTGTGTATTTCCATGTTAGACCCTGGCCATTTACCCATAATGCCCCTCAGTGTCCCAGTCCTCCCTGTGTATTTCCATGTTAGACCCTGGCCATTTACCCATAATGCCCCTCAGTGTCCCAGTCCTCCCTGTGTATTTCCATGTTAGACCCTGTCCATTTACCCACAATGCCCCTCAGTGTCCCAGTCCTCCCTGTGTATTTCCATGTTAGACCCTGTCCATTTACCCACAATGCCCCTCAGTGTCCCAGTCCTCCCTGTGTATTTCCATGTTAGACCCTGTCCATTTACCCATAATGCCCCCTCCCCCCTCTGACCCCCATTTTGCTCTCCTGTCTCCCATGGTTACCTCTTTCTGCTTTGCGTCCTGCGGGTAGACGTCGGGGGGTCCCAGTCGGGGTCTCTTTAGCGGCCGGTGTTCGTAACTGAGAATCCCAAAGGCCGCCATCTTCCTCCCCGAGCTGGGTGCGCGCACGACATGACGTAGGAAGGAGACAACACCGAGCTCTAAGCACCAGAGACCACACGGCCGGCTGCTCTCCCTGTCTCCGTCACAGGCGCCATTTTGTCGGAGCCTCCAGCCCCAAAGCACCCGATAAACCGCAGTCTCTGAGCACGCGGCCCACTTACCGCAGGGCCAGGTGGGTACATATCGCGGGCCGCCCACGTTCGAGGGAAGTTATAAATCCCGTGCTTTGAATAAGGTTTGAAAACACAACAACAGAGCATGGCGCGTTTTGATGACGTCACTGCGAGGAAGGGCAGTGATGCAGCGGCCGCCATGATTAGTCCTGGCACGGCTCTAGTGCATTATTGCCCAACTGCTGGGACAAAGGTTGGCTGGGCGTCATAGGAAGTGTAGTCCATAACAAGAGGGCAGTAAAGTCCTGGCTGGCTGGGAGACCTGCTGGCAAATGTATAAAACCATAAATAATGATCTGCTTACTAAATGGCTGGGGTAAAGGGATGAAATCCCATTAGTGATCAATTAGAATTCTGATCAATTCATGTGTCACCCTTGGTTTGATCTAAAACCCCTGTAAATGAGTATTTTACACAAGGGATGGTTATTCATAACTGACATTTACACAGTTTATTTATTTATCTCTTTATTATGTTTTAATGGGGTTAACATCAGTAATATCAATAACATTAGATAGATGAGGTTGAAGAATACCCATATATATTAACGGACAATCCCCTTTAATAGCCTGGTAACATGAACAATTAACACAAGATACAAGAGGAGAATGTATTACAGTACTTCTGGTTCCTGGATTTTTATGACTTTTGTACAGTTTATTGTGTGAATCAGGTCAGATGCCACCTGTCTCTATGCTTTGCCAACCTTGGGGCTGGCAAAGCTTCATGGGACTGGTAGTCCTTCAACAGCTGATGATCTGCAATTTGACTGAACTATAAACTCTATAAATAAATGCCAATAAATAATAAGAACTATAGTGCTGGATAGCTGGAGTCCAGCAATGTCTGAGATTGTACTATACAGCCATCACTGTGATAGCAATTAGCAGGACAGCGGAAGCAGCAGCTGCTCTGAAATTACATGGGGCCCCTTCAGCCCACCTCCACCTTTGCCCAGAATCCAGTTTGCGTCTGACGCAGTCTTTGATACATGGCGTCAGTGCGCCTGCCTCGCATGTGCTGCCCTTCTCCAGACCCTGGGACAGATCTGGTGCTGGGATTCAGCCCCCGGGTTTACCATGTACTGTGTGCCTGCAGTGGGGTGCTCAGTATTGGGGGCATGGGGCTCTGCTACTGCCTTAGCCATGGCCAGAAAAAGAGCCGAGCTGTCAGGATAGGTGGCAAAGTGCGCCTGCCCAGCTTCCTGGGAACTGCAGGTGGGGAGGAGGAAGGGAGGGGGTGATCCCTGCTTAGAAACTGTTACATCTAGACTGTGATACTTTGTAATTCATTCCATAGAATGTTGCAGAATAAATATGTTGCTTCGACTTTTACAAAAATGCTTTTGGAACTTCCACAGATGAATGTTTATTCAGGACTTCAGGCAGCTATGGTCCATTATATTTGTATTTTAAGCAGATCATTAATCGGTGTCCATGGTAACACACGAAGAAGGCTGCCCTGTAATGTGCATAATTTATAGCCTTTAAGATTGAAATCAATGATCTATTATAAAGGGAGTACTTGTAATGGGGTTGTCAGATTCCCCCCCTCCCCTTATTTTACTGGTGCTTTAAATGGGGAGTTATTAATGGATGAGAGAATTGCAAATGTTAGCATAAATTGCCAAAATATATTGCATTTCTGAAATTTTGGCCTAAACGTTCTATTCCCTTTGTGAACTTTCCACAGATCCAGGTTTTCTGAAAAAACTCTGTTACCAGGTTGGGCGGTAGAATTAGTGTGTAATTTGTTAAATCACAGGGAGTTACATTATTAGTAGCAGATCCTTTGGGAGCTGTTCTTAATTTATTTCCTTCCTGCTTCATTTAAATTCTACATATTCACAGCAAACGTCCCCACTCCTGCTGGGGAGTATCACCTCTATTTCACAGGTATCTGGATGTGTGCTGATTAAAGAAATACGTAATTAGCAGTTCTGTGTGAGTTGACGACTGATGAATAATCAGAAACCAGTTTACAGTGGATTCCATTGTGACAGCAGTATATTAGAGTATTTTTACATGTTTGCTTAATTGAGAATATTGTTTGTTTAGGGCTTAGGCAGTAATATTTAGGATTATTATTATTTTATTATTTCATGGTTCAATGTTGTGGAGGATGCTCATGGAATATTACATTATTATATGACATTTAAAAAGCAGCACCATAACCACTACAGCTCCTTGCAGTGGTTATGGTGTTAGACGTCTGTTGGTACAGTCCCTTCTTTATCTGTCAAATCATCATTGAGTGATTTGATAAACCTAACACCAATGGCCTGTTCCCTTTACAGCCATATTGATAATGCACAAATTACACTTCTGCTTTATCCAGTGTAAATTCATCCAACCTTGCTGGGAGTGGATATCCAATGATCACTTGTATGCAGAACTCCATAATTCAAGTTATAATTGCAAAATCAAGTCCGTGTTCTACAAGCTTGCCCCAATCAAGAGATTTCATGAACCTTTAATGCTTATGGAGGTAAAAATTATATTGTGAAAGTTAAAATCTTTCACCTCCTTCAGTCTGTGTGCAAATGTCATAACTGCAACTTGTTTATCTCTACCAGTACAGTAGTTGTTGTTGTCCAACCAAATTTGCTCTGAGGGATGTGTGCCTTACTTTGGGAGGTCGCAAGGAACCCCAAGGTAGTAGACCTATAGACATTACAATTTTAAAGACCTCCTTGCATTCAATCTTTGTGTTTATTCATTCTGTATGGCAGTGGTTCCCAACCCAGTCCTCAAATACCCCCTAACAGTCCAGGGTTTAGGGTTTACCCAGTTGTGTCGACGGTGTTTTTAGAATAAGAAAAAAACAAACACTTTAGACACAACAGGGTGATCCCTAAATTCTGTACTGGTAGGGGGTACCTGAGGACTGGGTTGGGAACCCCTGCTGCATGGGATTATTCAGATGAAGACTGGACACTTCCTAATATTTAACAATGTCAGAGTTTTTGTTACAAAACAAAACGAGCCAGAGTTGTAAATGCATCTCAGTCTGGCCAAGCACTGCAGGATGATTGAAATATGACGCTGATTGCTTGAAAGATTTTTGATGTCTGAAGTAGTGGGATGTCACTCGCCTAGCTATATTACAGTCCCCATGCCCTGCCCTCGGGTGGCGGTCAAGGGTACACAGGCATGTCCACTATTGCCACCCCAGGTGGGATCCTGGCAGACACTGACATGATTCCAGATTTATTATTATAGCACATGGGTAGCTAATATTTGGCACTCCAGATGTTGTGGACTACATCTCCCAGAAAGCTCTTGCAGCCATAATGCTGGCGAAGCGGCACCAGGAGAGATGTAGAACAAAGGTTGCCCACCATTCCCATACACTGTTTACAGGTGGACCGTGACATGTCAATCCACCATTATTAACAAGTGGACCAATCTAGGCTCCTCCTCCTAATTTGCTGGCCCCAGCTTAATGCAAAGGGGTCTTTATAGCGAATTGTTCTTTAACCCCAGCAATGCTGGTATGTTAACAGTGAGTAGTCACTGGCTGCTCACTGTTTAATAAATATGTCCCCACCCATAGAATATCAGGTGGGGGCAAAAGGGACGCTTTAGTTTGATAAACGTCATATTCTCTTGACCTTATCTTCACCAATCTCTCCAATGTTCCATTTCCTCTATCTGACCACCATCTGCTGACCTTTGACATCGGCATACCCGTACCAAAATTTCACCACCCTCAACTCTCCAATCTCGCAGAAACCTCCACTGCCTTGATCTCCAGCATTTCTCAACTAAACTCCAAACTCTCCTTTTACCCATCTCAAATCTCACTTGCCCTAACTCTGCAACCTCACTCTACAACTCCACTCTCTCCTCTCAACTAGAGATCATGGCACCTCCTACATTTAAATGCAGCAAGAGTTTCCAATGACAACCTTGGCACATAAAGCTGACCCGATATCTCCAAAAATGTTCTAGAACTGCTGAACGTGGTTGGAGAAAGTCTCACTCTGCACATCCACTTTAAATTTTTGCTGCGCTCCTACACTCTGGCTCTTTCCTCTGCAAAAGTAAATTACTTCAACACCCTCATAAGCACACTGCCCCGCCAACCCAAATGCCTATTTCATACTTTTAATACTCTCCTTCGCCCTGTTGCTCCCCCTCCTCCTACCACCCTGTCCGCCTCAAACTTTGCAACTCACTTCACTGAGAAGATTTCTACAATCAGGGAAGAGATCTCTAACCTCTCTCCCTTCCCTTCTAATACATCACCCAACCCCACTCACTCCATTGTTCTATGCTCATTTGCACCTACTACAATGGAAGAGGTTTTTGCTCTGCTCCGGTCCTCCCGCCCCACCACCTGTTCCCTTGATCCTATTCCCTCATTTCTCATCCGCTATCTGTCTCCCGCTCTTGCTCTTCCTCTCACTAAAATTTTTTATCTCTCTCTTTCCTCTGGCATATTTCCTTAACCCTTCAAGCATGCAACCATAACGCCAATTCTGAAAAAGCCCACCCGTAACCCTAACTCCCCATCCAACTATATCGCTACCGCTACTGCCGTTTGCCTCCAAGATCCTTGAGAGTTGTGAATGCAAGATTGACAGACTTCCTCGAATCCAACTCTCTGCTTGACCCACTTCAGTCTGGGTTCCGCGCTAAGCACTCTGTTAAAACAGCTGTGACCAAAGTATCTAACGATTTAATCGCTTCTAAATCTCGCGGCAATTACTCTATCCTAATTCTCATTGATCTTTCTGCTGCCTTTGACACTGTTGATTATCAACAGCTTATTCTCATTCTTCATAATCTCGGTCTACAAGATACTGCTCTCTCCTGGTGCTC